ACACACACATATATATATATTCAGGGCTTCCAATGCAGGCAGAGATAAAATGAGCCTGTTTCCAACCAGCTCCCAAATGTGCATCCCTAGAGATGCTTAAGGCCACATGTGCCTTGGAAGAAAATGTTATTCTCCTTCTGTCTGTCTCTGAGACATTCTGTGCCTCAGTAAGATGTGACTTCTGTAACTCCCTGCACTCCTCAAACCCTGTGAATAATACATGTGCTCTGAGGTAGAACTACTGCCCCGGTGCTCCTCATTCACTGACTTGCTTGGCAAGCTGAATGTTTGATGCATAAGGGCTATTTCTGGGAGATGAACAGGAGAACAGTCCCCCACACAGCACTGAACCCGGGACAGGCTGTTCCACTGCGTTCAGAACTTGCTGCTCAGTGGTTTCTGCATGGCTGGAGGGCTTCATTAGAAATCAGAGACCTCTCAGAGGGGTTGTCTGTCCCCTTACCTCTGACAAACATCTGTCTCTGTCCTGGGCAAGGTCCTCGCTGTCTAAGAGCAGCTGTACTCAGGCTGCTGCCTTTCCCTATGTGAGACTTGTTTCTTTGCCCAGATGCCCCCTCTCCTAAAACCCACAGGAATGCATTGTCTCAGAGACTGGTACCTCTCTGCAGGCTCATTAGGAGCTACCCAACATGTTGAGCAGTCAGGAGGATGGGCAGTGAAGGATGTGCACACAGCGGTGTAAGCACATGATTTGATAGCATGGGCTGCACTTCCTTAGGAAAACAGTCTACAAAGTCTAGGGATGCATAAAACAAAATCCATCTCTCCATAGCTGCTGTTCTGCAAAGAAAAAGCTCATCACGGTCTGTACAGACCTGGGATCCAGGAGGTACGAGCAAAAGCATGACACAGATACGCACCCTCCTCCTTCCAGTGTCAGATTTGGAAGGGGAATTCACATGGCTATTCTTTTCCTTTGCCCCGGTTTTCACCCTGAATGGTACAGACCGTACACTGACATCTCAGGACCATATTGAGTGCGGAGCAGGGAGAGCTCGAGGCTGCCTCAGGAAAGGCCTAAAACTCACTTTGGTGTTGTCCAGAGCCAAAAAAACCCACATGTAGATACATGCACAGACGTAGCTCCTTTAATAGCTCATCTCTCCTAAATGATTGCACATACTGTTTGCAGAAACATGTGAAAACAGAACTGCAAAACAAATGATGGCTATTCCTCCTGGTCAGTGGTGTTACAAGCCCCATAGGTCAGTGGCTATTCCATCAGGCAAGGCAAGGAAGGAGACTGGGTTTCTGCAGGACATCATGGTCACTGTTCTGTACAGAAGGAACAAGCTGTTGCGGTTTAAGCCCAGCCGATAACTCAGAACCATGCAGTTGCTCACTCACTCCCTCCCTTCTTCCCCCCGACCCCTGTTCTCTGAGGTGTTTTCACCTTAACAGGTCATGAAGCAGCAGAAGTGTGAAAGCCCGCAGTACCACCAGAGACCTGCAGGATTGTACTCAAATTGCTACGGGAAAGGTCCTCTCATCCTCCTTCTTCTTCCAACCAGAAATACGATTTCAAAGCAAGGTTGTCTTTGAAAGAGCATCCAAGTGCCTTCCTACGCACATACACCCATTTGGCCACAATTTGAGTGTACATCACCAGAAAGACTTGCAAGGCTTTCTCTCCAGACCAAACTCCCGTTCTGCTTCGTGACTGTCCGCACTGTAGCCGCAGCATGCATCAGCAGACCTGCCTGGGGCTTTCTTGTCCCTTTTCTGGCCCATGGCACAACTGGTTTTCTTCCATCTCAGACCTAAGAGCATGAAAACAAAGAACAATCTAAGCTGTGCCACCTCACAGTGCTATGGTGAGAAGCTACAGGCAATGCAGAGGCTGATTCCTAAGGAGCATGAACACTGGCCTCTGCATCTTTATTAGCAATGAAAACTTTATCCTCTGTCTGACAGTAAGTTCCAAAGTTAATATTCTGCCTTTAAAGTATGCTTTGTATGCTCTGCAGATGCAGGAGGCCTCATTTCTATGAGCTGTTCAGTGCTCTGCAGTAGATATGACCATTTCACTGCCCACGGGCTCAGAGCATGCAGTGCACATTTGGGTGCTCGATCAATTACGGTTTTAATAAAGGCTTTCATTAAAAAGTGCTTAATCAAAGCTATTGGGATTAAAGGTTTGTATTTTCCAGGCAGTTTAAAGCAAAAGTTTACTGTGACACTGACACACACGAGCAGTGCTGGCCCTTCCAATTCAACTCTCAGATCTATCTTCCTCAATGTGCTCTTTCTAAATTGCTGTGGGCCACGCTGGGGAAGCAATGGGCTTCAGAAGTGCAAACTGATTGACTTGGTTTGATTAAATATTAACCTAAACAGCATAAATCAAGGTTTTACCCCAATACCATCTGAATGAGCATCATGCTGTATCTAGAACAAGCAAGAACGACATATACCATGCAGACCAAAGTGATGCTCCTGGAAATACTAGCTACTGCTCCTTGGTCATAGAATTAGCTTGGTATTCAGTAGACTATAAAAATAAAGCCTCTAAAAAACACTTTCATTTAAAAATGCCTTTTTGAGGGATTAATACTTAAAATTGTGAGTGGCAGTGTTTTAAACTGACTCTTCCCATGAATCTGACTGTAATTTGACTGTAAACTGCCTTTGCTAACAACGGCTTCCACATGCACAAAATCAGCCACGAGATCAAAGACTCAGGTTCTCCTTTGTCAATCCCCTGGCTTTCTTTGTAACATTGAAGTCTAGATTTGAATAGCATGAAAAAGGACACTAGTTTTAAGGGAAAACTTTCCCCTCCTTCAAAGTATTCATGCTTTTTGAATGGAAAATCATCACATCTGTTGCTGAAATTCTTAGTATTGGGATCCCCACTGTCTCACAGTCAGCTCTGCCTCTTCTCTTGAGACCAGCAGAAACTTAGTTCTATCTTTGAAACCTCCTGCTTGCTGACTGAAATTATCCAATAGTCCAGATACTGCTGGAGAAGGAGAGACACTTCTCATGGAGTTCACATTTCCTTAGGAAAAGGGGAGTAAAAGCATGTATGAGAAGATGTGTTCAGCTACTAGCTGTTGTAAAGAGTGAGAGTGAGGAACTCTTGCTATATAAGCCTATGAATTGTGAAACAAGTGAACACGTTCCCTCTCACACCAAAGTATTTATTCCTACCTAAGCAGAAACCAAGACAACTGCTGTTCAAGAAGGACTAGAGCCACATTGATCGCTTTATGTGTTTTATGATGAATCTGACTTTGCCCACGCCTTGTGTCAGGAAAACTAAAGCTGGGATCCAAACGCAGCACTGCGCCCATCATTAAAGGAAGGAATAGCTCCAGTTCTCCAGCTGCTTTCCCCTCCGTATTGCATATTGTGCAGGTGAGGACGTGCCCGAAGAGGCCAGATCTGATGCTGAATCCTGCATGAGCTGCCTCTGCTCAGCAGGCTGACACTGGCCAAGGGCTATTTTAACAGCACTAATGAATGGCGCCTCTCCATTAATTGTTATGCTGTTGTTAATTACAGCCTTCTGTGGCAGTTTTGCTGTATTATAAGTTTATATTGGTTCAACAGCTTATGGTTAGGGGTAGCTGCAATAAAGCTTCTTCCCATCTCATTTGAGCATTGCTTACATTAGGGTTGGAACTGCCTCTGTGCACAGGTCTGCAGTCCTGCTGGCCTGCACGTCTGCATCTTCTCGCCTTTTATTCATGCATATTAGCAGCTTACTCTGCTCTGAGCACTCCCAGCTGGGACAAGTTGCATTGTTTTACTTCTCAGGGAATGTATTTACAATTAATCACTGTTTAATTTCTCTCAGAGGCAGACAGGATACTCCCAAGTGAAATGCATTGGCTTGATTTGTGAGACCTCACTTGGAGTATTGTGTACAGTTCTGGTGTCCTCAACATAAAAAGGACATGGATCTGTTGGAACAAGTCCAGGGGAGGCCCATGAGGATGATCAGGGGCTGGAGCACCTCCCGTATGAAGATTGGTTGAGAAAGTTGGGGCTGTTCAGCCTGGAGAAGAGAAGGCTGCGTGGAGACCTCATAGCAGCCTTCCAGTACCTGAAGGGGGCCTATAGGGATGCTGGGGAGGGACTCTTCATTAGGGACTGTAGTGATAGGACAAAGGGTAACGAGTTCAAACTGAAACAGGGGAAGTTTAGATTGGATATAAGGAAGAAGTTCTTTACTGTGAGGGTGTTGAGGCACTGGAATGGGCTGCCCAGGGAAGTTGTGAATGCTCCATCCCTGGCAGTGTTCAAGGCCAGGTTGGACAGAGCCTTGGGTGATATGGTTTAGTGTGAGGTGTCCCTGCCCATGGCAGGGGGTTTGGAACTGGATGATCTTAAGGTCCTTTCCAACCCAAACTATTCTGTGATATGACTTTAGCAGGGGGGCTGTAACCCTTCCCAGTTCAGTATAACAGGCTACAGGCTCTGCTTATTGACAGTGTGTTCCCCCCCCACAGGAAGCAGCTGCCACCTGCTGCCATGGCTAATGCACTTTAAAACATTTCCTGCCCATGGTGTGGTGCTGAGGCTGCAGGGACCCAGGGCAGCTTGCTCCAAGCCCCTGTGTCCAACCTGGCCTTGAACACTGCCAGGGATGGGGCAGCCACAGCTTCTCTGGGCACCCTCATAGTGAAATATTTCTTCCTGCTGTCCAACCTCAATCTCCCCTCGGGCAGGTTAAAGCCATTCCCCGTGTTCTGTCCTTACAGGCCCTTGTCCCAAGCCCCTCTCCAGGTTTCCTGTAGCTGCTCGAAGGTCTCCCCAGGACGACGGGAACGCGCCTCGCTCTCCATCACTGCCCGCGGGGAGCGCGCACGCCACAACCCAAACCCACTGCCACCGCCATGCTGCGAACCGGCTCTCACGTGACTAGGGTAGCGGCGATGGGGGCGTGGCACCCGGTGACTCGCCAATGGCGAGCGGCGGGAAGGGGGGGGCTTAAAGCGGCAGCGCGGCGGGGCCGGGGTGGCAGCGCAGCGATGGAGTCGGGTACCGGTATCGGTACCGGGCAGGGGAAGAGCGGCTCCTCCTCTTCTTGCTTCCTGTACTACGCGTACGGCAGCAACTTGCTGCGGGAGCGGCTGCTGCTGAGCAACCCCTCGGCGGCGCTGTACGGCCTGGCACGCCTGCAGGTGTGTGTGGGGAGCGGGGCCTGGCTCTGGCTCTGCTGCGGGGGGTCCGGGGCTGCGGGACAGCCGATCCCTCCCACCGGTGATGGGGGGGGACCATCAGCGGTAGCGTCACTGGGCTGCCGGGCCCGCGCAAGTGGTGGCGTTAGTCCCGCCTCTGGGGGTATCTCCCTGCGTTTAGGCACGTCTGTCATGGTGTAGAGAGCTGTGAACCCGAGCGCGTTGAATTGCAGGTGGTAGCTGGGTTCATGGGATGAGTTTCTGGCACTTCTGAAAGGATGCTGTTTCACTTATAAACCAGGAGTCCTCCTTCCCGTCTGCTACACTAGGTACAAGTGCGAATCCTTTCCCGTGCTGTGTGTCGAGTGGGATGCAAGCTGCCCTCAGCAGATGGCTCCTTCCTATGCCCTGGCAGTTCTCCCCCTGCCTGGGGTTATTAAGTGACAGTACCTCAGTTTGGCTTTAGGAGACTTGGAAATAGGAGCTTATGGTTGTTAAGTTGATGCAGAGATTTGTACAACTGGAAGGATCCTTAGGGAAGCAGAACATCAATTGATACCACTTAAGGATGACTTGAACGTTCTCTTGGGGTAACTCATAGGAAATGATCTATGTGAGAGTGCATGAAGACGTTCCAAAAGCTTGTCATTAATAACCTCCCTGTAGTCAGGTACTTGGTGTCTCTTGGAACTATCAACCGGGCAACTGAGGCATGTTCCTATGAAGTGTGAGGTGCATAGAGGTATCACTGAGGAACTGAGCACATTGAGAGCCCAGCACCTTCCAGGATCAGATGTGGAAGGTGAGGAGGAAAGCAGTCACAGTAGTGTGTGCTTACCCTAGAATAAAAGAAAGCCCTATGCTTCGTCTTTCCTTTTGGGTTTTGGGTGGATTTTCAGGTGACACATTTGTCACACTGCAGGACAGCCAGGCATTTCTTTTTTGGCCAGCCTCTGATTGCCATGCTCCCTGTTAACACCAGGTGATTTTGCTCCCTTGCTTCGAGCTGGAAAGCCACTGAGGTTTGGGAGTGAGAAAGTGTGCAAAGGCTGGAGCTGATTTCTATTAATTGCCCTACGATAGGGCTGTGTTGGCTTTAAAAAGGAAAACCAACCTGTAAACAGAATATTTTTGCTGCTGAACTACAGTATTAAATTAACTTCCCTCTGGTTTTACTTCTTAAAGCTTTGTTAATCTTCAGCCAAAAGTTGTAAGGAATGGGATGCATAACATGCACGGAAAGGGTATTACACTGGTACTTAGAAGAAGGGCCAAAGACCAAGCTCTTGACCCAAGGAAGTATGTAGTGTGTTTGTTCCCTCTGCCCTGCGGTGCTTGCTGCGGTTGCTGCACAGCATAACATCAAGTTTCCTGCTTCTGGAACCAGAGTTAACCGCTCTGTTCCTGTGCGGTCTCTGTCCCCCTTTTTGGGTGTAACCTGATGGTTTATACACCCCCTTGCAGGTATTCAGTGTGGGTCAGGCCAGGAAAATGTCACTGAAAGGATAAAACAAAAATGGTTGCTGATCAGTGCTGTTCTGTGTGTGAGCCTCCAACTTGTGCAAACTTCTTTCGTGTATCTCGTAGGCAACATGTCTCAGAAAGCAAATGTTAATATGTACAAACATGTATTTCAAATTAAATTTCTAACTCAAAGAGGGTAAATATGAGAAATAAAGCTGTGGGGTTGTGAAGGTTTGGGTTTATTTTTGCTGTCATTGTGGTTAAGCAGGAAGTCTTCTGTAAAAGTTGTTGGTTTGGGGTTTCTTTTGCTTTCCCTTTTCTACTGCTAGGGAAGGATCCACAAACTGGCTAACAAGTAGGAGAGGAAAGGTAGTGTATGGAGCCAGATGGGAAATTACTCTGGTAAAATGCAAGAACCCATTACTCTCTTTTGTCTCTACAGTAATATGCGATATTACCTGTAAGAAAGAGATACTCCATTTCTAAAAGAAGGTTTCAACTTCAGGTGTTGTTTAAATAGTGTAGAATTGCAGAATAAACTCACTCAAGAAGGTGGGCTTATTGTTTATTCAAGGAATGCAGAATAAGCTCATTACACCATCATATAGAAATACCCAGGAACATTTCAGTGGAGTGATGGCACAAACACTGGAAAATGCACAGGATGGTGCATGAAGACAAGATCCAAAGTTCACCATCTTGTGGGCTTCTTTACCCCTGCTCTTTTCCTGGACCCTGCATGGTAGCATTTAAGTCTTGTAACTGCACCAGAAGCTGCACAGGGGTGGGCAGTAGGTGGGCATGCCTTTTGGGGAATGAGAAGAATGCAGTAGCCAGTTCCTTGCATCATGGCATACCTCAGCTGAGGGCCCTTTAGATTGCCTAATGGGAAGAACATCAGCAATCCTGTCACTGCCAACTTGGACAAAAGTCAAGCTGACTTCAGCGGTACTGTGTTTACTGCGCAATGGGGTGTGTGTGCTGCTCCTGATAAAGGGCTACTAAAAAGGCTTTCTTCTCATTAGCTCGTATTTAGGCCAGGCTATAGAGAGGTTTGCATTGATCCAAGTCTTGGCAGGCCAAGACTTTTATCAGCAGTGCTGTCTGCAAGATCTCTCTCCCCTTTGTCCTAAGGATGTTCTTTCTTATGGGGAAGTAAAAAAGGGTCCAACTGACTAGTTGCAGATTCTCCTTTAGCTGCCCCATTCATGTCAAGATTAGCCAACAGCCCTTGCCTTAAGTGGAAATTGATTCTCTGCATTGGTTTCATTTGCAGGATTTTAAGCTCGAGTTTGGCCATCATCAAGGCAGGACGAGTTCTGTCTGGCATGGAGGTACAGCTACCATTGTTCAGAGCCCTGGAGACGAAGTATGGGGAATAGTGTGGAAAATGAACACTAGCAATTTAAGTTCACTGGATAAGTAGGTGACTTAACTTTTGCTGTCTTCTACTTTAGAGAGCAATTGAAAAGTGGTAGTTTATTTTTGGTGAAGAGCTGTGTGGAAGCATTGGTGTGGGAATCAAAAAGGTGCTTTGGACTTTAATATGTGAATTTCAATTCATAGTACGTTTATTGACTTCTAATTCAACTGGGGTTAAAATGGCTTTGTTTTCAACATAGGGGTGTTTTCATAAGATGTGGACCTTGATTTGGAGCTGATACATTGGTCAGGCTCCTTTTTTTAACCCCTGACCTCACAATGTCCTGTCCCATAAATGACTCTTAACTCTTTATTTGTGGTGCAGGACTTCTCCCATTGCTTTAGGGAGAGTTTCCTTTGAGACTGATGTCAATTCCTATCTCTATACATGTGTAATCTCCAGATGTAGTGAAAAGGAAGGGCTGAGGACAAGGCTTTGCAGAAGAGAAGGGGATCTTTAATAAAGGTAGTGGGACCTTTTGAGGAGTTTTATTTTACATGTCTTCTAAGGAATCAGACTTTTGTGAACTCGAGGTATATCCAAGCAGTGAGCTGTTTCTCCCATTGAATGGGAGAGGCTGCCTTCACCATTGCAGTGCATGGTGGAGAATGTTCTGCCTGTGCCTGATAATTAAAACAAGTTTTGGGCAACCTGAGCAAGTTGCTCCCAGGCTGAAGTCTAGAGGACCACCTGGGCAAACAAATCCAGGTGTAGCATAATTTCTTGCAGGATTTAGAACTTAATCCCCAAAATTTTAGCTGGTGTCATGTGCTTATTGCAGCTTTTGGGACGCGCCTGCCCAGCACAATGCTTCTGGTGTACAAAGATAGTTTGTTCAGAGCCGTTCATCACCATCAGTTAAATCCAGTAAAAATCTGGGCTTGTGAGGCTAAGAAAGCAGGGCATGTTAAACCCACTGAAAGCACTACATTAATACAGTTCTCCTGCCTGCGGTACTGTTGCAGTTTTGGTTATGGCTGTACCATGCTGTGTAGACATGTCCTTATAACCTTGGCCATGGAACTTGGAAGTTCCAGCTTGCTTTTGATAGCCTACAGTGAACCTGAAATACAACAGAAACTGTTGCCCAAGTTCTGTTAGCACACCATGGGAATGGGAAGTCTCAGCACTCTCATGTCCTGGTTGGGAGTGTTAGTCCTAAGCAGGAGGGCATCTACTTGGTATGCTTATGGCTGGAGAGAGCATCACATATCCCTGCTTTATGATCTCCTGAGTTCCCCCTGTGTTGCATACACTAGCACTTACCTCCTGCCCCTATTTCTGCTGACCTTTACTTAAATTTCCCCATTTACCATGCTTTCCTAAAGCATAACTTTCACCAGTATAAAAAGCCTGTCTGGTAGCATCTGCTTTGATAGTAGCACTGTGTTTCCCCACTCTATGGGGATGTTGTTCTGTATTTCGGTTTCTAGAAGTTTTGTTTAAATACTGTAGAATTGCAGATCCCTGGCATTTCTTTGACAGGAGATAAACTTTAATGCTGGCTAAGATGTTAGAGACTTGAGTGCTGTAACGTCACCAGAAACTGCAGGATGGACACTAGCATTAAAGAATGGGGTTTTTTTCCAGCTGCCTCATTGATGTCACAAAGGTGAACTGGAAATGGAAGGAAATAGGATGTGTTCTTGGCTTTTAAAGCGTTAGTTGATAGTGTTCTTCTAAGGACTGCTCTAACCAACTCAAATGAGTTTGCATGTGTCCGTGCTGAGGGTCGTGGGACTCTCTGGCTGTGCACAAGCAGATATATTTGTAAGTTCTTCAAGTTATTTCCTGAAATACCCATGGATCACTAAAAAAACTAAAAAACTCACTGTTTCCTTCCTTCCTTTTTCTTTCTCCCCAGTCTGGATAAAAAGGTCTGTGCTTGTTATCCAGAAGCAGAGGAAGGAATGTATAATGGATGCTGTATGTAGTTAGGTGAATTACTAGTAAAACAATGTAATATACAGAAAAGAAATACGGGAGAGGAATCTTTTGCTTAGATGGCTGAAGTCTTTTTGGCTTCAAATGCGTTTTAATGCTGTCTTATGGTCAGATTTATTTTGTTGGGGGTTTTTGTCCTCTATTTCACACAGAGGTTACAGACTAAATCATGACTTTTCCTTATATATCATAGCAGTCGATCTCTCCTGTGAATTTTCCTTCACTGTACCGTTTTTCTTGCTCTTCACACCCAATTGACCGACTTTGCAGTCTTTGTGGACCCTGAATTTGTAGTCACCTACCAGTATCTACTTGCACTTAACCTAATTTCTCGCATAACATGGCCCATGTTGTGTATGTTAACTTGAAATGAAAGATAAGTTGTCAAAATGATATTCTGATGAGCAGCGTTAAAACCCATATTATCACTCACATCTAAAGCACATCTAAAGGTGGCTAAATGGCAAATGGTTAAAGTAGCCTTGGGTTTGAGTTTGGTCTTGTTTTCTTAAGACAGCATGGTTTTGCTAATGAAAAAATAACAAAATGGGCTTGCCCTGATCTGACTCTTTGTTGCTGTACAAGTCTGACACCAACTAAAAGGTGTCTTGGATTATTCTTTGGAACGTGCATTGCAAGAGTTGTACAAGTTTCCCCTTATTGAAATGTGACACAATGGGCAAGATACGACTTTACAGTTGCTTCATTGTCTGAGCAGAAGGTAATGACTGATATGTGCCTGGCTCATTAATTCTGATACTCTTGGTTGTGTTTCCCTTGTAGATTACAAGATTTGCGCTGTAATTAATTCACAAGGAGTATTCTCTACCTTTGCAGGTCATCTTTCTTACAGGGATAAAATTATATAAATGAATGCTCCTGCTGTTGTTGCTGCTCTAGAAATATTCTTGGATATGAAACAAGCCTGCACAGAAAGTACTGGAAGATGTTTTGCTTTACTTGTTTTTCTTTAAGTCTGTTAACAGTGCAGACCAGTGTCCTGCCTTGAATTCTGTTATGATAAATGCATATGTTTAATTGCACAATTTGTTTGAAAGATATACCTGTTACTTGGCATGAAAGGAATATACGTCCTTTACAGGCAAGAGGGAGTTGAAGCTGGCATTTATGTCCCAATAGAAGTTAATGTCCACACTCAAGCAGGAGAGGTACTGACCTGTCGGAGCTACCAGATGCAGGACTATGTCTGTGGTCCCCCTTCTCCTCAGTATAAAAAGGTAGGTATTGAATCACTGTAACTTTGAAAGAACTAATAAATATATAATGCAGTACTTATGTCCTATTTAATAAATATGTTAGTCATGCCTTCTATCCACTGTAAATAAAGGTATAACTTGATCCTTGTGCAATATGTCACTGTAATGATGCTCACAGAGGACTGCTAGCTCCTAAAGGCTTGCTAAAACAGTTTTACTCTTTGGCTTAGTTATGTCTTGCATGAAGACTCTATTTAACTTGTGAATTAGTTACGACTGACACAGGGATTTGTGAAAGATGCTGTTTGTAGATATGCAGCAATTCTCCTTTTGAAAAATTAATGCACTGCACTAAAAGGACAGAGGGAAGCTTCTATGGGGAGAATACAGCACCCGGGTTATAGTCTCAAGGGCACAGATTGTCTTGTGAAGTATCTCACTATCATTTAATACAGAAATCCATCTGCCTTCTTTTAAAAGAGGCATCATCAGTATATCATAGGACTTCCAGTGACACTGCAGAGCACTGCAGGCTTCCCACTTGATGGCTGGTGGGGCAGAAGTGTTTCAGCACTTCTGCAACACACTGGCTCTATAGAGACACATGATCCGGTCACGCAGCAGGCCTGACCTGCTTAGCTTGTGGGATCTGATGTGGGCCTAGCCTCAGGTGGAATGACAGCATGTCTGGAATTGTGCGGCTATTAGCAATTGTAGATAAACATCACTGTAACATGTTGACTTTTTCTACCAAAAGCAAAGCTTGAGCTTATTAAATCCCAAGTGTGCTGCTTCCTCTTAACTGAGGAAGTCACTGTTGTGAATCAGCCTCCGGGAGCATAGCAGGTGCCAGCTGCTGCAGGACTCTTGAAGAGAAAGCTTGCTTAGAAAGCAGGCTCTGCTACTTCACAAACCTCCCTGCCAACCCACTTCATGTCAGGACAGATCTTTAGGGCTTTTCAGGGAATTTCAATAGTCTGCTGCTGTGTGTCGGCTCTCACTATTATGCTGTAAAAGCAGACCTCCAGTAGTGGCAACTTTATCTAGCTAAACATTCCCTCCTCCTGTTGTCAAGGTCAGTTGTTAGTCCTCCTCTTCCCCCATGCCTCAAGCTTTTATTTGCTTAAGGAGGCTAAAAATTTAGTACAGGTGAAAGCATCAACACACAGTGATCAGCACCTATCTACTGATGTGCAGTTTCTGTGGCAAAGGTCATCCTTTCTAGACAACTCATCCTTGAATTTCCTGGATGTTGAATGCATGAAAGAATATTTACAATAGTGTCAGCTATTAAAACCTGCATATATATCTATTAATTGGGAACTTGCTGGTCTCTTTCAAGTGTGGGTTCCTACAGCTTCCTCTTTTCCTCTCACTGACACTATTCCCTAGCACCAATGCTTCGGTTTATTTTGTATGTAGAAACAAAGCTATGATAGCAAACCCTAAGGAATCTGTGCTTTTTCACTAAACTAAGTATCTGTTTCTGTTACTGCTGTAACCTGTCTAGGTAGCTGTTTGAACAGCTGAGTTTTAAAAGCAACTTCAATAATACAAACTGTTTCTCACTCAGAAGAGATACCAAGGCTGGCTAAAGGCATAGAAAGTAGTTCTTATCCTCACTCGAAAGAATGGAATAACTGAATTAACAGCTTAATTGTAGAGTCTTGTGTGATTATAGAGTACAACAGTGGAGATCGTGGATTACTTGTGTAAGTATTGAGATTTCAGAATCTGAGGGGTTTGTCTTAGTGTAGTTACCTGCCTTTTCAGAGTAATTTTGTTGATATTACTAAGGTCTTCAGTGGTCTTCCAGAAGCCTTTGGCTATCTTTAGGTACAAATGGCATTATTTGGGATTAATTCTCTTGTTACCTTAAGTAGTTCTTCCCATACAAGCAAGTTTGGAGGAGTCTGTTCTTCCTAACGCTATTATTGAAGGCTTTCTCTTTTTATTTCTTTTGACTATAGGTTATCTGTATGGGTGCAAAACAGAATGGCTTGCCATGTGACTATCAGAAGAAATTAGAAGCTATTGAGACTAACAACTATGCAGGGCCAGTACCAATCATGGAAAGAATTGAAGCTGCTATTAAAGAAAAGGAAAAAGACTCTGCATAGAATACCTCTGCACTTGCCTGGCCATTCACCTTCATTTAGGTATCTCTCATCACTCTGCTGATCAGCAGTTGATTTATTTATCCAGGAAAGATGAGTTTGCTCTGCATCTACATCAGACATAATTTGCAGTCTGGTGACACACTGACATTGGTAACTTCTTTGCTTTGTATAGCTTGAGTACCTGCTGAAGTTGTTGCAGATGTAGACATTCTGTAATTGTCATGCTGTGCTGCACACAGATCTGTGCTTCATGTCCCATTTACTGACCTTTCTAAAAGAAAAAGGCCATCTTGATGAGTATATCTGTTACCTTCTGAGGAGTAAGTGCTGCAGGATCAGGCCCTTTGTTCTTCAGTACTGTATACACTAGTGTCAAGACTTGGAAAGATTTGTTAGATGCAAAGTAGACTCAAACTCTAAACCAAGACTAAACTCTTTCCTCTGCTGCTTCTCTTGATGGTTTAAAAGCCAAGCTACCTAAAGCCATGGACTTCCTGTTTCTGTTTATATAGTTAACAAAGAAAAGTAATGGTATTTTTAAACTATTTCCATGTTTTTAAGTGTTAGTCCAAAAGGCAGCCCAGCCCTCAAGACAGCATTCAGCAAAGGATCTCATCCAAAGTCTAATGGCTGTCTACTTTCTATGCACATTAATAGGTTAGGTATAACCAATGAATTTTAAAGAATTCATCTTAGTTAGATTATTCTAAGGGGTTTTTAAATTACCATTTTGACTGGCTTGGTGCTATCGAAGCCTTGCTCTCACTTCCAGTGAAATCAGGAAGTCCCCTGTGACTCCTGCTGCATTTGTGTCATGGGTTTGCTTGTCTGTTAAACCCCAGATGAACAGACCTGGCCTCTTCCCCACCACAAGCTTTGACAATCCTTTGCAACACTGGAAGCTTTTGCAAGGCTTAGAGTACTTACCTTCATGGCACTTGGCAACCACTGTAGTTAACCTGTGGGGAGCAAGGCAAAACTGACACCCAGAAAGGTGTCAAACAACTGAACTTTGGTTTATCTTCTGTACAGTGTTTTGTTGCTGTTCTCTTAATGTACAGAGGGGTGTAAGAGATAACCAGTGTCACTGTGTGACTGCTTAAATAAACAAATGACAAAGTAACATGTCTTCTCTGCATAAACTGTTAGGTGTGTTTTCAGAGTTGGGCACTGTGTGTGCAGCAAAACACAGTACTTTGAGCATTGGCAGTGTCTAGTCTGAGTAAATAAAACTGCAGTTACCAAACCTCTCACTGTTCAGTGCATGCCTGAAGAGTACCAGTGTTGCACATGAAAGTTACATGGAAAGGTAACGGAAACTTCTGTTGGTTATTTGTGCGTTTTAGTGGATGTAATTTCAGTATGGAGGGCATGATCGTTAATTTGAAGTATTATTTTTCATATATAAAGAAATGTATTAAATAAATGGTATATAGAGGGTGGCTACAACAGAAACAGAGACTCCCTTTTTTACAAGGAGTCACAAGATGACTGGTAATGGGCAAAAGTCCCTCCTAGAGGGATTCTGACTGTACACAAGAGGAAGATGATTCATCAGCCATTGGAATAACTCCCCAAGGAAGTGCAGGATTCCCCAGCACTGGATACTTTGAAGATTAGGCTGATATTTAGTTTAGGTCATATTTGCTGAGAAGGGCTGGACCAGATGATCCTTGAGGTCCCTTCCAACCTGGGGTTCCATGATCAGCACCCATCCTGCTTTTCCCTTACCACACGCAGTTGGGCTTTTGAACTCTTAAATGCGTGTTTTACCCTTGCAAGAATCAACCTCCTGACAGCCTCCATGGGGGCTGTCGACAAGGTGCCTCCTGTTGAGGAAAACAGGGTCCCTGAGGGCCGGCGGAAGCTGCGTTCTCTGCGGCGGGACCCCCGGCAGCCCTCGGGGGAGGAGGCCTTCGCCATGCTGGTGTGGGAGGGAAAGCCGATGCCCGTGAGGGGAACAAGCCTTCGGCCATGCCGGTGTGGGGAGGGAAAGCCGCTGCCCGTGAGGGGAACAAGCCTTCGGCCATGCCGGTGTGGGGAGGGAAAGCCGGTGTCCGTGAGGGGAACAAGCCTTCGGCCATGCCGGTGTGGGGAAGGAATGTCGGAGCCCGTGAGGGGAACAAGCCTTCGGCCATGCCTGCGTGAGGAGGAGCCGCTCCCTGACAGAGCGGAGAGACCACGGGTGGGGCGGGAGCTCCTCCCCGGGGGGAAGCACCCATGGGCCGGCTCCTCCCCGTTGCCTGCGTCCCGTGGCCGCCGCGGTGAGTGCAGGGGAAGGGCCAGGGCCGGAGGAGGGTCGTGTGGGTGCTGCCCGCCCCGCTCCTCGGTCGCGATGGGCGGCTGGGTGTGAGGGGGGGTGGCCGCCATGTCGTGAGGGGCGGGCGGCGCGGAGGAGCGGGGAGGTCGGGGCAGGCAGGGGAGGCTGCAGGGGTAAGGCAAAGTTTGTGCGTTCTGTAAAGCAGAGTTTCTCTGTTACCTTCTTGCCCTGACGAGGTGGAAGGAGAAGAAGGAAGGGCTGCGCCGCGGCGGCTCCTGTTGGGCTCTGTGGCTTGGTGGAGTCGCCGAGCTCCCGAATTGGAAGTCTGGGGGCTTTTTTGTATTTCCATAGCAGGGGCTCCTTTCGCCTCGGAGGGGGAGGCTGCCGAGGGGCAGGCAGAGGGTGAGGAGCGGCCGGGACCCGCCGCCGTGTCCCCGGTGGGGAAGACAAGCGCCTTCCTACGAGATCCAGCAAGGCTAATGCATAGTTAGTTCCAGATGCTGGCCCGTGGTGCAGCTTTCCCGAAGGAAAAGCTGGCACCGGTGGTTAACTCTGTCTCACCTGGGGTAACCGGGCAGTTCCCCCTCGGGACCCCGTTTTGCTGGGTCGATGGATGTCAAGGCACAAGCGAGCGGTGGTGGTGGGCAGGTGGAGTGGCTGTAGCTGATGAGGTTGGCTGTTGGTGACCACCAGAACGGTGCCTGACAGCGTTAGGAGAGCTGTGAGGATGCCAGTCCATCAGTGGCAACTTCAGGTGTGGTATTTGCTGCAGGTTGAATGGAAAGGTAGTATATGATAGTAGAAAAGCAGTTCCAGCTTTTAGGTTCACCAGTGAATTGTTCCCTTCCTCCTCCATCTCTTAATAAAATCCCTGAGATTTCTCCCATTGAAGGAATTTTCCTTTGCTTTTTAGTAGTGGGTCCTTGTTTACTGAACTTTCCTCACCAGAACGGAATTATCCAGAATGTTTTTTGACAGGGGCTTGCTAATTCTTCCAAACATTGTATACAAAGTTCTGTTTCTTTAAGCTTTTAGGAAATGTAGCAGCAAAACTGTGAGGGATTTGGGTATTTTTGTAAAAGCCCGTGCCTTTTAAGCAAAAGCTTGTTGGTTTACTGCATGGAGGCAGAAGTAATCCCTTCTGTTTTCATGTACCTCTGTGGCTCTTCAGACAGCTAAGGATGGCTATAAAAGCTTATGCTATTGTCAGAGAGGGGGGGATCGCTGAAAGATGCTGATCTTGGTGACCCCAGAGTGAAAAATCACAGCAGCTGTAATGGATTTACAGCAGTGTGATGTTAATGTATGGGTCCCAGGGCACTGATTGACATACATAGCATCAATGATGATAGTTAGACAGAGATTGTAAATGGAGACTCTGAACAAGCTCTACCAATGCACCATTTCTGCTGTAAAAAGGCTGGGTTTTTAGTACCTCTGGGAAATACATGGAATCACTGTTCATCAAGACATACAGACCTTTTGCATAGTGTTGTGTGTCCTTTTGCTCCTGTTTTCTACACATTTTTTTACTGTTCTTGAACTGTGTAAAATAGTTTTAAGTTCTTTTAAAAGTGAGAGCTGCTGTGTGGAAATCCATTCTGCCTTGTTCAGTTGTTACAGACCGGCTGCTGTGGCACACATGAAATACTACGTAGAAAATCAGTTTCTTGCTATGACTGGGAGAAAGCATTGAGTTTACGTTGGCCTGACTGAGTCTGATTTACCATTGTTAATGAGAAAGCATGGCAAAGTCTGCAGTTCTCTTGCTTGTAATGACCTGCAGTGGGGTGGCTGGCACTGTAAACCAGCTTTCCTCGGGAAGCAAATCTGACTTGGAGACACAGAGCACAGAGTTTCATTTTAAACAGGGCACTATTTTCATACAGCCACCTCTCAAAGAGTAATTTCATTTAGAATACTACAGGTGGAAGGCTATGTCATTAGGGGCTCCCTCGCCCTGGGCTGGCCCTGGGATCTGTGTGTGTGCGATGGCTGTTAAGTGCTGTAAAAGTCCTGAAGGTGTTCCAGGTACTGGCTGTGGTTAACCAGTTCCGTGCCTTAGGACTCTGTTTCACAGGCAGTTTAGGGGAACAGTTTTTGTCAGAATAGCAAGACTACAGAAGAAGTGGTATTCACTGAGTTTTCAGCTCTTCAGGAATATTCTAGTTTGGTCTTAAACCAGCTGCTTTAAAAGACAGTGAATTAATTTGCTCCTTGTATTGCCTCCACTGCTTCATCCTACTCACTCTTTTTGGGAGCAGCTGTCTCGATTAGGAGTAAATTCCCCAGTTTACCCCAAAGTGGAAATGTTTTTTAGCTATTCTTTAAGATTCTTCAGTCCTTTGTCTACAGCATTTACATTTGGTGAGACCTTGTTGTGATAAAGGAGCAAATTTTTCACTGCCAGAGCACTTGCACTTGAAGGTGAACAGGCATAGCAGTTTTGTTAGAAGAAGAGCAAGATTTTAGTGAAAAGAGGATGTGAGAAGGGCAATGCCAGGAAAGATATAAATGTACATATGCTTGCACAATGCTGAGAACAGAGAAGTCAGAAGAACCACCAGATGAAAGTGCCAGTGCCTTCATGCCGAGGCCATCAGCACCACTGCAGCTTGTTGACGTGGATTATACAAAACCTTGCTGTAAGCACTGATACTTTAGTGTACTTCTTACTATGACAAATTTGATTTCTCTTTTTCCCCTCCTAATGCCTGGCCTTACCACCATCTTGCTTCTTTGTATTCCTTTGCATTTCTCAGTTATACAGGCTTACACTATGCATCTCTTGCCACATTTGCTGTTGCTTCTCACATCGCTTCAGTCTCCACTGGGTTTCATTTGGCCAGGGCCATGTCTTCTCCCTCTTCTTGGCCTTTACAAGTGATGAGTGAGCTCTCTGTTCTCTGGTTCTTTGTAATTCCTGGTAGTCTCTGTCTGTCTTGTTAGTGGTGTTTTACGAAGGATTGTAAGAGCCTTAAGATGGCTTTCGGAAAAATGATTGCATTCATAAGCCCTTTCAGAAATGAAACAGTTCATAGAATCATAGAATCATAAACAGTGGATGTTCTTAGACCTCACATCAATGTATGTCTCTGTCTTTTCTAATAGCTTTATAATGACTGATGCCACATCAGTCATAAGAATTGCACTAAAATTAAATCTAGCATCTGGAGTGCCCAAAATAAGGCAATGAACGCCATATGCACTATAAGCAAGGAGATGCTTTCAGCACATGTTTAAAAGCTGCAGAAGCATTTACCTTTAAACATACCAGATGTGTAACCCAGCATTGTAAAACTAACAGATCGTTTAACAAGAGACTTGGTACTTTGTAACCTTGGGGATCCCGCATTGAAAAGACATTAAAGCATAATGGAAGTGCAGCTCTTCCCAGGAAGAGGTGTGATGGACTTGCAAATAAGTTGGAGACCTCATGATTCAACACCTTGGCCTTATGTTTAAAAAAACACCAACAAAAAAATGCCCTAGCAAACCAGAACCGTATACATCAGAATTGTATGGCAGTGTGTTACTCTGACAGAACAAGCTCGTTTCTCATGCTGATCAGGACTTTTAGGTGCTGTTGTACCAAGAATTGCTACTGTAGGAAATTTTTGTGTTTACTTTTGTCTGAGTAGGACCTGAAGTTTCCTCATGGAGCTAATAACACTTCACTACAAACATGCATGTACCTGCCTTGTTCTTAACTACATGTGGCAGGAAGTCTTTCTGTTCCAGCACCATTTAAGGTGTTCAGCCTCTCATCTGATGTGGCATTTTCTTAGTCTGTGGATGGTGGAAATTTCCATTGTTTCTTATTAAGAGACTGATGAAAATTACTGTTTTCTCCAGTACTGAGTGACGTGCGTTTTTTTGCTTTAAAGTCAATATTGCCACTGAAAATACCACTGAGTACGTCATGTGCACAGAATTCATATTGCCAGCTCTGACTTCCCTGCCTGACATTTTTGCTCTCTTCCCTTTTCTCCCCTGATGCTTAACCTTACTTTATATTCTTTTAGATTGCAGCGTTATATCTCCACTCTCTTGCACCGCAGGCATTTTGGGACCTTCTGATCTTTCCATATTGTCCATGTCCTTTTCCTGTATTTCCGTTTTGTTTCTTTTTTTTTCTTTTCTTACCCTCTTTGTAGATGGATCTGAAGGAGTGAAAATACTTCATTTGCTTTGTACACATAACAGCACTTTGGTTCATTATTATGGTTTACTCAGTGTTCCTCAGTCCTCACAAAGCAGGAAGAAAGAAAATATATTAGGATAATGTGGTCCTAGGAAAACCAAAGCAAGCAGGGGAATGTTGGGTGTTAAGATCTGTTAAGATCTCTGTTGCCTGTGTTTTAAGTTGACTGTCTCTTTAACTAAAAGCTTGCTAAAGCTTTAGAGTAAATGATGTTTTCAACATTGTTTGGCCTTCATGATAGAGTTAATTTATGGAATGAACTTTCTCGAACAAAGAGATGTGCCACTGTGACTTCTAGGAAGCTCAGTGACTCAGAAATCAGCCACTTCATCTGGTGGGTCATGTGAATGGTGTAATGAAAGGTTGATTTGTCTGAGTAGATGCAGTCACTTATGTGGTAAGAAAGTCAGATCACTTGGTTACATTCCCTTTGGTTTAGGGAGTATTTCAGTTTTGGAGCTAGTTGGGAATTTGCATGGTCTCAGCTTAGTCTTTGGAAGGCTCAGCTCTTAAATGCAGTTGTCTGTATCTGTACGGGTTAGCAACCACAAGTTAGCACTGATTGGTCTCCTGAAATCAGAGGAACTAAGCTGGTTTGCCCTGTCATAGAATAGTTAGGGTTGGAAAGGACCTTAAGATCATCAAGTTCCAACCCCCCTGCCATGGGCAGGGACATCTCACTCTAAACCATATCACCCAAGGCCTCGTCCAACCTGTCATTTGTTGTAAGCATAGATAGGTAGCATCACTAAAATGCAGGAGTATAAAACCTGTGTCCTTCTCCAGCATCAAGCAGGAGAAGCTAAACTGATGCAGGCTGCAGCTTCTGGTATGGAAACCCCATAGAAATGAGCTTGTTCCAGCAGCAGGTCACCTAGAAGAATCTATGAGCTGGCAGGGCTCAGTTCTAGCTTGTCAGGGCAGTGCAGGGAGTGTTTGGAAAGTTTGCCATCATTGTAAATGTCTTGGGAAACTCTGTGAATTTTGTAGCAGCAGAGCTGGCACCTTTACAGAATTGTTGAACAAGAACTTTGTGTTCTGTTTTTGTTCATATGACAGTGATCAGAACTAAACATTCTTCCAAATAACCCTTGTCCTGCTGAAAGCAGCGCATTTTACCTGTTACTGGATGGTGCCAGTAATTTGTGTTCATCATGCAAATTCTCATTGTCTATGTGGTGGTGATTCAGTTCTGATCTTGCAAAAACCTGCTTTTTGCATGGGAAATTGTATGTGCAAGTTTCACACCTAAATTAACTTATTGTTGGATTATAATTACAATATAACTTCATGCCTGATGTATTAACTGCAATTAAACCAAAACAACTTTAGTAATGCAATAGAGAGCGGACCAGTCTGATCCCAATCCCTATTTCTTTATGCCTTGTAAAAAAAAAAAGGGGAATAAATGGCCATCTACAAAGAGCTCCCAAGAGCTGGTGTAGAAAACCAGAGCATACACAGCATATGTATTTATAGACAAGGAGAGAGCATTCATGCTGAAGAGTATGGTTTCTAAACAACATCTCTATAGCAGTGAGAGGGTTTCCTGATCCCGTAGCTGCCAGTTAGTGGTCACGTTGTGTCTCTAGGTGTATATACAGGGGCTGAGGTGAGGTGTTCAAGCCTAAGTGTTTGCACAGGCTTTAAACTGATATCTTCATTACAAGCTGCACTGGGTGCAGTCTCTTCCCTTTAAGAAGATGGAGGTGATTGGATGCCCAGTCCGGTAGTGGATAGGAACTGTGATGCCATCTTCCAGATCTAGTTCATCACATGGGGAAACAGTCTGTGAATTCAGTTATTCTGTGCAGTTCCTGCTCAAGGCAAGGTCCGTGTTTTTTGTGTGAATCAATAGATGGGATCTTGTATATTTGCAGTCACCTAATTTCAGTTCTTTCAGTACCACAGTTACTTTTCAGATTCTGAAAAACTGTTTTTAACTTTTATGGCTACTCTCTTGAATTTGATAAGATTAACCAAACTAAACCCATGCAATTGTATTTTCCCTGCTTTACATGCTGTCTGAACGAATAGCTTTAGAAGGTGTGAAGTGCCCTGTGCCCTAAATGGTGTATTAGCTCTGAAATCAGCAGCGTAGTTTTCACTGTTAGCATCATTTTACTCTTGGCCTTCGCATCAGAAACATCTGATCAGTGGTTTTCCCACAGTCTCACTACTGCCTCTCAAACCTTCTGTCCTGAAGCTAAATGCTTTTTCCTAGTTTAGCTAAAACTGTGTCAAGATTTCACAAGGCCTCACTTACAGGGACAGATAATGTATTGGCAACACTTTATACAGAGTCTGTTGTTGTAATGCAGAAAAAGCAAAGTGAACTGCTGGTAGACATTAATCCCCCCTACCAAATTAATTGCTATGAAATACAATTTTATTCCATTTACTTCCGTGCCCAAATATATTTGGACAGATGCCCTGCTTTGCTATTGAAACATGCAAAGCTAATAAAAAATACTAAATTATGCACTAAGAATATGCAGTTAGTAAAGCGGATGCTAGCATTGGTGTTTGAGGCAAGCTACAGTGAAGTGCTGGTACAGAAGGGATACTGCCTGCTGTAGATACTTTCTTTTCCAAAGCCTGAACAAATAAATGGAACTACCTGAGGAAGAAACCTCTTACTGAAGTTGGCCATGATATTACACAGAACTTACTAGTATTTTTTTATGGCAAATTGAAGGCTGTATCTTCATAGGATAAGGTTTAAATTGAGGTTCTATGCAATTATTCTTTACAGGCTTGGTAACTTGAAGGACAGATTGCGTGTTTCCCCAAAGTTAACTCCAAGGTGACTCCTCACTGCACATGGACAGTGATGAAGCTAGGTGGATCAGCTTCTTGCTCTCTCAACTATGGAAGGCCAGCTTTGTGCTAACTTGGAGATTTCTGTGGAAAAACCTCAAGGAGCAAGTCCTCCATCCTTCATTGCTTTGCTGAAGGTATACAGAGAACTCCTGGTCAGTAGAATCCGAAACACGCAGTGTTTGATTGACAACTTGATTGAGAATGACTACTTCTCCACTGAAGATGCAGAGATTGTCGTCCAATTTCCAACTCAAGCAGATAAGGTAATCTTTTTATTGCACTAGCCAGGGTAAACCTTTTCTTGCTTTCAGTTTATCACTGGGGTTTATGGGTTTATCTGGCAATTTCATGCCTAGTGTCTTTTCTAATCTTTCTTATATTGGAATTTCCTCACCCCATTCCTTCTGGACAGGGATTCCCAGCACATCTCTTTACAGCATGGTTGGCACTGCTTGTGATGCCCGTTGGCAGCTGTCAGAATGAGCAGGGTGATAACTGCTGCTCTGTCTCCAGTAGCTGCAGCTTTGTCCTCTGGTAAGACATGGCCACGGTAGCTGTTAGAGCACAGCTTGCTACATGCAAGCCTTCGTTACTGTGCAGAGCATTGCAAGGATGCTATGGGACATCATCCTGCTTTAGAGGAGGAGAGCTGGAAATATTTTAAGCTTAATGATTGTCCATGTGCACACCCTCCCTTCTCTTTAAACACCTATGTACATTGTAAATGTCTATATGGAAAACTGATACATCGTGGCACATTTGGGTTCTTGATTTGTCTTTGGACATAAGCAGCAAAAATCATTTCCTGGTCTTTTGATAGGAGAAAATTATCACATGTGCACAGCTGCTCTTTGCATCATCGCTTAAAACAAATCCCTAATTTCTTTCCCTGAAAAAGCAGTCATGCAGCTTCAGAATAGTGTCACAGAGCCATAAAACATTCAAAGACCTTGGACTTCACTAACAGTACAGATTTTCATGAAATAATCATTCTTGCTGGCAAGTTGAAATGGTGACACAGTGCTCACTCTGTGTATAGGGTCAGAGCTGAATAAATGCACGCTGTATAATCATCTGCATTTCTTATTGTTCAGCATAATATACAGGATTGTTGTAACAAAGCTGAGGGGGAGGCCATGCATCAGGAGTCTAAGCAGAGACAGCAGGCCACAGTAGTTTAAGTGAATTGGACTCTGGGGAAGCCTCTCTGGAAGGCATAACGTTGCTTTTTAGAGCATACAAATTGGAAAAAAATACTGTGTTTATGCTGGGCTGCATGTTCCTTGCCCTGCTTTAAGCTCACAAGAGACCACAGTCTCTCTAAACACTTTGTCTAATTTAGAACTGGACATTCTTCATTATGAATGGATGAACTGAATTCTCCATTAATGTCTAGCAAGAGGATCCAGACATTCAAAATGGATCCCCAGATGATTGCTGTGTTTTGCAGAGGGTTTTGTACTGGGGTTGCCCTGTCCTAGTTGCACAAACATCTCGCTCTGCCTTGCCTTCAGAGGTAAGGCTTGGTCTTGAACTTCTCCAGCCACTGCCTCATAGCCATTAGTTTTGGTAAATGTTGCAGGCAGCAAGTGCATTGTACTGAGAGAACCTGCAGAATTGAGCTGCTGTGTTAGAAGGAAGGGTTATAGGTTTTGGGGTCTGCATTAAGGTCCAGAGAGACATCTGCCTATCCTGCTCTGGATCTGGCTGGATCCTGAGGTACATCTAAATGTGACTGGAGTATTTAGAAACCAGAGGGTGAATTTAGGGCGCTGGGAAACCACCCTTTTTTAATTTTAACCCACATGGGATTTAAAATATACTATCTAGTCAAGCTGAGGAAGCCCTTTGGGTCCCCTCTTGAGGAGCAGTATTTATTCATTTTGTTTCTGGTTAGCATATGATCTAGCTAAAAGTTCAGTCCTTAACTTGCAGAGCCAATTTTCTTGCAACATCCAAATACAAATAGCAAGTGAGGTTTGTGATGGTTCAACTTCAGAGCTAGATTTTGAATTCACATGGTTGAAGCACCCATTTGGATTTTCCAGTTCAGAAAGTAAAGTAATCCACAAGTGTAACTGATAAAATGCTGTGTATCAACGATCTTTCATGTGGTGTTTCTTCAGGTTCGCAAGATTCTAGACTTGGTTCAAAGCAAGGGAGAAGAAGTTTCAGAATATTTCATCTGTGTCCTGCAGAAAGTCACTGATGCTTACTATGAACTTCAGCCTTGGCTGGATGAAATAGGTTATGAGCCTTCAGAGAGTATTTGTAGTAAACCTGTGGTAAATACAGATCCAGGTAAGGCCATGCGTCTATACTCCTTCCCTTAGAACTATCTTGCTATGTAGGAAGGTCTAACCAGGTGGCATGAAAGTGGGAGTCTAGGCAAGCACAGCCAGTGCATGCTGTGGTAACCAGATAATTAAAAGGCACACTGTATGACACAACAGTCAGTCACATTGATATATTACATCCTGCTTTGCTGAACTCAAATTCTTTCTGCATTTGTTTGTGGATATGTAGCATAACGGCATAACCGTCTTGTGCCAGCTGTAGTGATTTTCTGGGCCTCTACTACAATTTATTAGCAACACTGTGATGTGTTGCCAATGGAATAGCCAGTATTTCAGGATGAGGACAGTCAAGCAATGAGGCAGGTTGCCCAGAGAGGCTGTGCAGTTTCCATACTTAGATGTTTTCAAGAGCCAACTTGATAAAGCCCAGAGTAACCTCATCTGTTCTTGTAAATAACCCTGCTCTAAGCAGGAAGTAGGTCTGGAGACCTCCTGAAGTTCCCTCCAGCCTGAATTATTCTGTGATCCTAAACAAATTAGACCAAAAGTCAGAGTTAAAGTATTGCAGAAATAAATGTTTTCTTCTTCAGAGGTTTTTTCATACTATATAAATACAAGAATTATTTTGCCCCATCTGAAGCAAAGTTTCGGTTGCAGTAAGAACACAAACCAATGTGTAAAAAAAAAAAGATCTTTTGAAATGCTTGGCACCTGGTTTCTAAAATGCATGCCTTCTATTTACAGTAATAAAAATTAACAAACAACTTAGGAAAGAATAACCACCTTCTTGATAGATCTCTCAGGTAGAATATGAATAGTGAAAAGACAGATGCCAAAACTAAACAGTGACCAACAAGATTTGCAGAGAGTAAAACAGCCTAACAAAGTGTCAGGGTCTTGGCTTTGAGTCTCAACTGAAAGATGGCAGCCCCTTAAACCAATGCAGTGTCAATATTAGCTTTCAAGAAATGGTGGCTCACACATTACCTTTCATTAGCACCTGAATTTCCCAAGATAGTGATAATGGCAGCACAAATAGAAGTAATCTGCCAAAGAACCTATTTTACATTAGAATTACATTTGCTTATTACACCTCTCAGTTCCCAAAGAGGTGGCTCATTGTATACATAAGCTTTTAATAATACTCTTTTTAATAATAGTTCACTGTCTTTTTAGTTAGCAGGTATTGCCAGAAACTCAGATATGAACTGGGACGGGACTCCAAGTTTGTTATGTCGTATGCTCAGAGGGAAGAGATGCTATTGGAAGAAATCTACTCCAACAGTATTATGGAGCTGGTCAGTTTTACCAATGAGAGTCTAGGCCAAGTGCATCAATTAGAAGCCCTTTTTGATGACACAGTTGGTCTAATTAATGAAGATGGAGAGACTATTTATGTCTTCGGTGATGCAGGAATTGGAAAGTCCATCTTGCTGCAAAAGATACAAAGCCTTTGGGCCAGAAAAGAATTGGACATAGGGGCCAAATTTTTCTTCCGTTTCCGATGCAGGATGTTCAGTTGCTTTAAGGAAGATGAAGCCATATGTTTGAAAGACCTACTCTTCAAATATAATTGCTACCCAGACCAGGATCCCACAGAGGTGTTCCATCACATCTTGCAATTCCCTCATACAGTTCTTTTCACATTTGATGGCTTTGATGAGATATATTCCAGTTTTGATCTCAGTGGCATGCCCGAGATGTGTTCACCCAGTGAAGCCGTCCACCCCCTGGTGCTGCTGGTAAGCCTTCTCAGAGGAAAGCTGCTTAAGGGATCCAAGAAAGTTCTTACAGCGAGGACAGGAACTGAAATCCAAAGAAACATCATTAGAAAGAAAGTGTTGCTTCGTGGTTTCTCCAGCAATAACCTGAAGGACTACACTGCTATGTTTTTCAAAGATGAGGGGCAGCGAACACTGGTACTGAACCAGCTGGAAGCTAACCCCAATCTCTGCAGTTTGTGTACAGTGCCTTTATTTTGTTGGATTATTTTTAAATGCTATGAACACTTCCATTCCATGTTTGACAGCCACGAGCTTCCAGGCTGTTCTGTTACGTTGACAGATGTGTTTTTGCTCATGATTGAAGTCCATCTGAACCGGTCTGTGAAAACAAGTTTGCTGAAGAACAACACCAGGAGCCAAGCAGAGGTGTTCAAATCACGAAAGGAAACTCTTCTGGCTTTGGGTAAAATGGCATACAAGGGGATGGAGAACTCTTTCTTTATCTTTGAACAGGAGGAGGTCTCATCAGTGAACATCTCTGAAGGAGATTTGCAATTGGGCTTTCTCAGGACAGTTAAAGGTTACAGTGGCTGTGACGATCAGTTTACTTACGAGTTCTTGCACCTAACCCTTCAGTGTTTTTTCGCAGCTTTGTTCCTGGTTATTGAAGAGAAAGTGAGTGCCAAGGAGTTACTTCGGTTTTTCAATGAGTGCTCCTCCACTGAGACTGTCCAGCCTACTTGCCTTCGTATTCCTTGGCTGAAGAAACAACTAGCAGGGGAGGATCCTTTCCGAAATAATGAACACTTTCATTTTACCAACCTGTTTCTTTGTGGCCTGCTTTCTAGATCCAAGCAGAAGCTCTTCAGACATTTGGTTTTGCCTGCAGTCATTAAGAGGAAGAGAAAGATACTCATCACATACTTTGGGGAGAGCATGAAATCCCACCTGAAAGGCCTCACTCGGTCCAGGCTTCCACAGTACAATCAGATCCAGGTCCAACCCAACTTTGTTTGGATGCTGAGGTGCCTCTACGAGACTCAGAGCGAGAAAGTGGGGAAGTTGGCTGCCAAACGCATGCACGCCAATTACATCAAGCTCACATACTGCAATGCCTACTCTGCTGACTGCAGTGCTATTTCCTTTGTTGTGCATCACTTTCAAAAGCGCCTGGCTCTGGATCTGGACAACAACAACATCAATGACTACGGAGTGAAACAGCTGCTGCCTTGTTTCAGCAAGCTTGCAGTGATCAGGTGGGAGTCTGTGCAAGCAGGTCTTTGCTTACCCTTGGTTTGTTACACAAGCCGCTGGGCTGGAGGAATTGATCTCAAAAGTGGAGAAGGATGAGGATTCTCACTGCTTCTGGAAATGAAAGTGTCGTATTTTCTGAACTCTTTGTTCAGGAGCAGGGACAAGCTGTGATTTTGGAAACCCAAATGGAAAGGGTGATAAGAAGTCCTTAGAAGCCAGGACTGTTTAAACCTGTAGGTTCAGTTAGCTCCACCTCAAATTGTTTTTTCTCAAAAGAGGATTTTTATGGGAGAAAGTGCATAAGGGAAAAGAAACAGAAGTGCTTCCTCCATTACCTCAAGATTGCCTGAGCCTGTCTTTGTCCTTGCTCATATGGGGTAAGAGAGGATCTGCTGTTCACAATAACCCTTGATCAAAAGCTCTGAATTTCTTGCTTTTACATCTTTCCAAGATGTCTGGCTTTCACAGAATAAAAGCTAACATGCAGTACTCCATGAAGGATGTAGCTGATGTCTTTAGATGTGGTGTTTCCCTGAGGTGATGTGGAGAGAGGACATGGCTGGTGATCACAGAGAACTAACTCCACCTCTAACATCACAAGCCACATTGTTCCACCTGTAGTCCTTTGAGGTTGTGCCATGTAGGTATACCTTATTTGTCCAAAGGTTTAGGTGCAGAGGAGCAGGAACTTCAAATATATTAAAGCTCTTTCAGCCTCATGAGTTTGTTGGGGGGGGATAGGATTGTTTGGTTTTTGCTTGTTTGCTTTTATAAATGGATTTATTCTTCATGGTTGGCTTGTTTTCCTCTAGGACTAAATCAGAACAAGTGACACTTTTTCCAGTTAGTTGCAAATCAACTGACCTCCCAAGAGAAAGCAGTAAGGAAACCTGGGGGAAAATGCTGAAGTATGTAAGACAAACATAGAAGAAAATGAAAGACTTTCATTCTTTATCTCTATCATATGATCATGCCCATCCACATTGTGATATTAACACCATCCCCAGCACCAAACCAGTCTGTTAGGCTGCCTTTTTGTCTTTATGGCTCTTCTGATGTTAGGACTTTGATTTCTAATGAGGAATTTCTCCAAATCAGGAAATGTTGTTTCTAACAGCTTAACCATCCCTTTCAAAGAAGCAGACTGTTCTGGTCTGTAGAAATCAGCCCTGATTTCTCCTGTGTGCTAGTGCATTCTAAAGCAACCAAGTTACTAACCGGCAATAGCCAGGGAGGCTTTTGGTAATAAGGGGCTCTCAGCTGTGAATGCTGAACTTCAGAGTTTGTGTAGAAACTAAAGCTGGTCAGAATGTTTTTACAGGGACAGCTTTACCCAGAAAAATGTGATTCATCACAATTTGAATGCTTCCTGGGAGCCTGCCCATTTAGGCAAGGTGAAAAAGCTAGAGAAGCTAAAATCAAACCAACACAAGAAGGAAAAGAGCCCCCAAAGAAATAAACCCATGAAAAGAAGTACTTTTATTCTGTGAATGACTGACATTGATTTGTTTCATATCTAGTTGGTACAATAAAATTAGAAACATCTAGGATACCCATGGGATTGCATGGCCAGGACTTTTCTCAGCCTTTATTCAGGGAAGCCTGAATGTGTGGTGACTTCTAAGGTGCCTGGATTTCACTAGGTACTCGGAGAGAAGGTTGCAGGAAGAGGAGTTAGGAAAGCTTGGTTTTGGTAGGGTGTCAAGCAGAATTCCTTCCTTGCAGTCACAGTAAGCATGGGAGGAGGATGAGGTGATTGTTTCTGGGTTCTGATTTAACTCCATTTTATTGTTTTCAGCTCTGCAGACAGCTTCTAGAGCATTACCTTGGAGATTTGGGGCTTTTTGTTTTCTCTTGGTTTTGAAGTGAGCTGTATGAAACTGAGCTCATGTTTCCCATAATGGCCTTTAATATATGGCATAAGGGCCTGTTGAAGTATTGAAGACCTCTACGCATAGAGCTGTTCATTAACTCATGAGTGATGAACACTTGTAATCTGTATCGATTCAAACTTTCTTTTTGTTCCTTTCATTCCAGGCTCAGTGTAAATCAGGTTACAGATCATGGAGTAAGGATCTTGTATGAAGAACTCTCCAAGTACCAGATTGTGTCTTTCTTGGGGTATGTACCAGCTGGGAGCAAAACACTAGATACTGATACTAGAAAATAAAAGTGGCATGCTGACAGTACTGACACTGCAAAGGTGGGGTGGAAACCACAGCTACCTCCTCGTTTACTGAACACATGCAAAGCAGCATTTTGTGTCAGAAATGACTCAGCTGCTGTCCTTAACAGTTCACTTGGGAAAAGGCCCACAGCTTCCTCTCCCATTGCACTGCACCACAGGGTGGCCTTCCACTGACAGCAAGCCCTTCTATAACACACTGCAGACCACTGTCAGGTTACTGAACTCTGTGGGCATGCTGGTTTTATGCCTAAAGCCTTATGCTAGCTGTGGAGGGCGGAGAGACAGAGCACAAGCAAGAGTGTGAGCTTCATAGCTAGAGCCTTCTGTTTGCTCTGCTGTAAACTGATTTATTTCAACTGTGCAAAGCAGATACAGCTTGGTAGAGACTAGTATCAGAACCATACAGTTTAAAGGCATAATATTCATGGTACCAATTTCTTTAATCTTAATTAGTTCTTAATCAAGTTGAAGCTGGAAAGCATGTTAGCTCTGACTCCCTGCTTCTTGGTTAAGTAGCTACATAAAAATGACTTTTTGAAGGTAAATATGAATAGGAAGAACTGCCTTTTTCCTCCAGTGCCCTAATGCAAGTACATCTGCTCAGGTATCTGATCTTCAGTAATATTTGCAAGGGGATTTTATGACTTTTAAAAGACCAAAAATACATTCTTCTGCTGTTTTCTCTTCTTGTTTGCCTGGAGAGACCGTTTATTAAAATTTATGTAGTATCTATTTTCCCATGATTTGGAGTCTGGTCTCCTTGTATTTTATATCTAGCCCTTCACAATATTAATTGTATATAAAAATAGAAATGCAAGTAACTGTGGATGTGTACAAAGGCATACAAAAAAGACAGATGCTATGTGTTCTTATAGAGCATTCAGGTTGTAAATATTAACAGCAGGAATAACCTGTTTTTACCAATGTGATTTTTCTTTAAGCTTATACAACAATCAAATCACTGATGTTGGAGCCAAATACGTTGCAAAACTAATTGAGGAGTGTTCAAGCCTTGAATACGTGAAGTATGTTGGATTTTTTTCCTTTCTTTTTCTACAGTATCTTAATTAATGCAACTTGAAAGAGGAGGGAGAGTGGGAAAAGGGCAAAAATTATGATTCAAGTAACATATAACTTAGATTGAAGTTGTATCTGATTTCACAGTCATCTGGCAGTGAATGGTAGCAAGAAACCCTGCTCACTGCAAGGGAGTTTGACCAGATGACCTTTGAAAGTCCCAACCCAAACTATACTATGATTCTATGATTGAAAGTCTGTACTAGAATATAGGAACAAGCAGAAAGAGAGTATGAGACCTGTTCTTTACCTAATTCAGTCTGAGCACCTGAGTGAGGCCAGTGGTGCATGAATCTTGCTGCCCCTTGCAATAGGCAAATTCACTTGGATTTAGTACCAAGCTGCTTTATATCTTGTCTTTTATGAGCCATTGGAGTCAGGCTGTGCTGGTGTCATACTTCAGCTCTGGAATTCCCAGAATTCACTTGGTGAGTTGTTCCGTTTAATTCCTGGAACTTCCCCAGGTAAGAGTATCTGGCCATGCACAACACTAGTTTGACATAAAGGTCAATCTGATCATTAACCAATGGTGTAATTGTGACCATAGCAGAAAGTAAATGTAACTACAGCAACGTCAGCTGTACTTGGTATGAATGTAGAAACCAGGAGCCAGGGACTCTTGGGTTGTGGTCCAGTTCTGAAACCCCCCCAGTAGCCACACCTTTTCCATTTGAAATATTTGTGGAGTTTTGAAACCAAAGAGCACTTTGTTTCTTTCACTGCTTTGACACAGTGCCTTGCTTATTTCATCTACCTTTCACAAGAAAGCCTTTTGGAAGATGGTTATTTTCAGGGTGCATAGTTACCCCAGAGATACAGGTACTCTGTTTCCTATGGCATCATGAAACACTCTGCATTGTAATTCATGTGCTCTGTACCAACTGCTGATATTATGAACTGTATTAAAAACTAGGCAGAGGTCCTTGTCTTGAGGATTGGTTCCTAAAGCTCATTTCTGACATACTGAGCACCAAATGCAAGATTCTACTGTAATACTTCGGTTTGGAGGGCTGACATGCAAAGTATGTAAAAGACAGCATAAAATTATGTATTTTAATCAAAGGTTAAATGACTGTGGTATTTTTTTACTCTAGGTTAACCTTTGATAACTGCAGCTAGCCTTCAGAATTAATCAGCATTAAATACTTGTATTGCTTTCGGAGGTGGTGTTCTAATAACTGTACAGTTGTAAGTGATGCACCTCATCAATTCATGTTTTTTGTGCAGAATAGGAGCGAACAAGATAACCAGTGAAGGAGGGAAGTGCCTTGCCCAGGCCATCCAGAAGAGCAAGACAATGTTTGAAATTGGGTAAGTTCAGTGCTAAGGAGCACAGCTCAGGGCTTGATCTTAGCAATGCATCTGTAGGATTCCTTCTTTTAGTCTTGCCTTCTCTCCTGCTATTCCTTCCCCCCCCCCGTGGTGGCTTTAGAACAAACCAATGCAGAAGTATAGTCATGTTTTCCACTCAGAGGGAGAAGGAGAGCTGCTTTATTGTTCTCCAGTTCACATAATGTTTGGTTTGGGTTTTGTTTTGTCCCTGCTCTGACAGAAACTTAAAGGAGGTACAAACTAGCAAGAGGAGAGTATGTAAAGATAGCCACTTTCCTTATGGCAACACAGCTTTTGTAGAGATACTTGGTCATTGTGAAGTCTGGGCGGTATTGTGACTATTGATAATGTACCTCATTATGGAGTGTCAGTGTTACAGTTGTCAAACCTTCTGCATCAAGTCCTGATAAAGTTGTGAGAGAATAAAATAGAATTCCCATCATCTTTCTCCCTAGTCCCTAACTGGAGACTCTGCTGTTATTGGAGAGAGGTCTGAATGTACTCAAATAAACCCTTAGTCCCTGACCACTTTCTCAGGAGTGGTGCTAGACTTTAGGATTTCATTTATATTTTAATCTATCCCCCCTGCCCCTGGCAACTCAGTTTCTCCTTCCACCCTACAGGAGAACATATCTTTCAGAATCAAACACTCAAATACATGGAATTAAAACCTTTTTGGCCATTGTGAATGTCACAGAAACACCTGAAATAGGAAAATCAGATTTGAACAGTCAGATCTGGGCTTTTAGTTTTGTTGTTCTACAACATTTCACAAATATAGTCACCAGCAGGCACACTTCCATTATCGCATAGCTGGGTCTGCTGTGCTGTACGTGCTGTAATTTCAGTGAAGGACTCCTATTTTCTCCTGTGGAGGAAACGATCTCTCCAAATGGATTTAGGATGGCTTGGACAGTAATGTTTAAACAGATCTATTCAGCATTTACATAACAAACTGTCAAGGACAAGGAAATTCTGGGGAACTTACTGGAAGTGGATTTGTTTAGATACCACACAGCTCAATTGATTTGATAAGAGCTGCCAACTAATTACCCATCAAGCTGAGTGTGGCTCTGAGTCATCAAGCCATGATCCCTGGAAAAAAAACCCTTATTACCTCAGCAGAGGCTCGTTCAAACCTCATAATATAGGGTGAGTTGTCAAAGCGGTTGGTCTGCACAGAAAAGATTTTACCAGATACTGCTATTAGATGTTGTCCAAATCTCTGCAGCTTTTACCACGTTACCTTCCCTTAACCCTTTGTGTTACCAAGGATTGTTTTGCCATTGGAAATACTATTCCTTACAGATGCGTGGAAGAGCCCAGGGTCATACTGTCCCCGTGAGATTCTGATTACCCCTTTTCTCTTGGCCACTGGTGACAGGAGATACCATTGGGGTATAACACTGAAGGAGCTGTGACTATTCTAAAGGAGGAGGGAAGCTTGAGAGGGGGAAGAAACACTGAGCAGGGCAATGGTAGGATTTAGGACTTGGTCTGTTTCTCACAGCAGCTCACTGTAGAGGACCACAAGACTCCTTTACCCCATAACGATGCAGGGCTGCAGAGGGTTTGCCCAATGCAGCAAGGTGATCCCAAAAGCACTTCTCCAGCAGCAGGCTGTCTCCTAGAGCTGCTTCTGTGCTGTAGCCTTAGGGTGCTGATGAGTCAGCAGAGGCTGCTGGTGTGTTGTGCAGGGAGTGGAACATGTCTGGCTCAGCCAGGAGGTACCTTCCAGGTTTCTCACAAGCCTGAAAGACTATGAAGTCATCAGTGGGTAGGGGAGGGAAAAGGGGAGAATGCAATGCCATGGGGCACTAGGGCAGCACACCTCCTATCTCATGGTTTCCTCTCTTCACCAGGATGTGGGGTAATCAAGTTGGAGACGAAGGAGCAAAGGCATTTGCAGAGGCCCTGAGGAACCACCCCAGGTTAACAAACGTAAGGTAAAGCACCATCAGAGCTGGGCAGCTCATTGTAGTGCCAGTTGTCCCATTGTGCTTTGAAGCAATGATTCTTCCTACCAAGTGTTAGCTTGGAATGCCATCTGGTATTGCAGCCTTCTCTGTGTAACCAACAGGCTCCTGGTGGAAGCAGGAGGCCAGATTGAATCAAAAAGCCCTGTGAAGCCGTTAAGCAAGTTAAGACTATTTCAGGGCTGGCATCCTTTCCTCTGTTTGCACCTCCTCCCCTTGTGCTGCACAGAGTTGCTGGCATTTGGGAAAGCACATGGGCAGTGGGTGCCATTTTGATCTGGGAGCATTAGCAGAAGGATACACCAGCTGTCATAGAATCAGGATCCCAGTGGGCTCAATGCTAACAGCTTCTGTTGTGAAGGTGTAACAGTACTTTCACCAAAGTAATTTTGAGGAGATATTGGCTAAGGACTGGGGCATTCTTAAATTGAGGATCATCAGGCTCATCATGACTGCAGTAATGCTAAGACCCCCCACATTCAGTGCTGATGAGATGTAGTTCTTACTGGAGTTCAGCAATTCATCTCAAGCCAGCCTTCTGGAAGCCATGGGTGAAGCTGGTAGCACAGCAGTGTGAAATAGCCCATCCCCTGCCAGACTTTCAAGTGCTGGCTAGGGATTTAAAGATGCATATTGTAGCATCTGCTGCTGTTTTGGAGTCCATCCACACAGCTGGTTCATGGTGATCGTTTCAGTTTGTTTCCCAGTTCCACTGGCCTCCACTGTGAGGGAGCAGACAAGCCTCTTTGGTTTCCCCACAAGGTGGCACATGGCACTGGGGAGTTCGGGATCTCTGGAGAGCTTATTGCTGCCGCTTCAGATACAGGGATTTTGGAGCTGGTGCCTTGTCTTCCTTTCTGTGAGTGGAGAGTCGGGCTTAAAAAATTAAAAGCTGAACAGATGCAGTGACCTAGATCTATTTAAACGTCAAAGCTCTCTGAAATAGCCATCTTCCCATAATGGCAGGATCCATCCAGACGCATCAGACTTGAAAGGAAACATTGTGAACCTGAACCAGAGCTGAGTGATTCTCATCTGAGAATCAAAATCTGCTGACGAATGTGTTTGCAACAATAAGGAGGGGTAACTGTGCTGTTAGACCTAGGTTTTGGGGGCACCTGTGCAGGGTGAAGCCTCTGCTCTGCAGTGTACTTGGCTCTTGGGTTCATTTCTTACCTTCCAGTGGTTAACCTTGCTTCATGACTTGGATTCATAGTTAGCACCAGTGGTACCATTATGAGAGGATTAAGGGAAGATAGTCCTTACTACATCAGTTTACTTCAGCATATTTGTCATTTTTAGGCTCAGTCATGATGGACTGAGAATATCTAATTTCAGCTGAAGCTAGGAGAGACTTGTGCTAACGTATATTTGTGCCATTGCCCTACTTGATGTCCCTTTTCTCCTCTTTTTGAGATGTTGCATTATTTTCAGGTTCTGGGCTGGCTTTTGGGGGGGGGGGGAATGATTTTTGAACTCTCAGAGCCTGGAACATAATTTTAACTGGATGATTTTGCCAATGTCTATTCAAAGAATGAAGGGCAGACTAAGAAATATTTGTGGTTTGTAATGGAAAGCAAAATCTCTCCCTGCACAACAGAAGGGGTTATGTTTGGAAGAATAATGAGATATTCAGGTGTCTGAAGGACTTAAAGGACAATATGCTCTATTCATATCAGGACTTGGGATGACAAAGCCATGTAAAAACCCATGTACTGCTAAGCACAAGTCTTTGTCCTTGTTAAAAGCCTTTGCTCTCAAAACCACTGGGTGCAGCTCTGCTCTCAGTCCCCAGAGTACAACTTGCTGACAGCAAGCCTTATGGCCTGCATGACAGACCTGCACTCATGCTGCAGCCTGTGAACTGTTCTCACTTGTGACAGTCATAAGGACTTGCTGGTTCACAAAGTATGTGGGCCTTTGAAACACCCAGGTGCTGAACTGTACAACTGGGAAACAGATCATCCAGGATACGCACTAGTATTTGGTAGTAGAAGGGCCACGTGATGCCGTTTCTTACACACTTGTATCTTTACTTCCTAGTCTTGCATTCAATGGCATCACAACAGAAGGAGGCAAAAGCATTGCTGAAGCTATGCAACACAACAACTCTGTGGAAATCTTCTGGTAATTGACAGTGTGGTCTGCTTCTCCTCCTCCTCTTTCTCCATAGAAAGATGCAGCCTAATTTATTTCCTTCAATCCCATTGCTTCCTCCTACTCTCCCTACCTCCTTCTCTTCCTCCCCTCATGTGCTATGCTTTCACTACCAGCAAGCTGTAAGATGTATCCCTTTGGAATAATGGGGACATGAGTAATGGATCAGCAGTGCTTGTCCTCTAGCCCACATTCCAATGTTCCAGTGTCATGCTTCGCTCTGCTCCCTCCATCTGGCTTTCCCCATCTTCTCCCACTTCCATGATATGAAGTCAGTTTTTGCACCTCTTCAGTGTGGTCTCTACCTCTCTGTATTTTTCTGCTACACCTCATCCACCTTTTAGCCACTAGAACATCATCAGGACATTGCTCTAAGACCTGATACTCCTGTTTCTTTTACCTCCAGGGCTTCTCTTCAGCATCTCTTTGTGTCCAGACTTTAGAAATTGCTCAGGGCAAGAACACCACACCCCCCTTTGGCTGTCTAAAGCTAAGTCAGAGACAAGCTGGTAATGCAGGGGGCTGAAAAATAATGATAACATCCTAAGTGAACATTTTCTCTCCCCTTTAGGTTGACTAAAAATGAGTTGGATGATGAGGCAGCAATGAGTTTTGCAGAGATGCTGAAGGTCAACAAGAAACTGGTGCATTTGTGGTAAGTTACATTCCACAGAAGCACAGGCTCTTTGGCAGTCACTGCATTAAAGCTTCACCTTCCAAATCTATGTAGGTCACAGTAAGCTTTCTGTGTATGGTCTGGATGCAGCTGACTGGTTGTAGACAGTTATAATGGAAAGTTAATAAAGCTGCTGTCTGGTGTTTTGAACCTGCTTTCATACAGGCACAGGTTGAAGCTGTTTATGGGTCCTGGTAACTTTCAAACTACTGATTGATTTCAGAGGTCAGAGGTGCCATGTACTTGTAGCCTCTTCTGAAACCAGTAGAAGCTCTGCTGCCCATCACCCTGAAAACAAAAAGGGATGGGAAGAGCTTGACTTGTTTGTGCAGAGCTGCAGATACATTTCGCTGAGCAATTTGGTTTGAATTCATATTAAAACCTTTCCCATCCAAAGGAGGCCTAGTAACCTTAGGTACATGCCTTTACCAGGGCTTGGGGTTTCTGCCAGTAGGCAAATTTGTATCCTAATTTGTTGGTTATATCAGTGGGTACCTCCAGAAAATAGTGACCCATAGAGATAGTTGGACCTGAGGCACAGTTAAAGGTAACTGAAAGCATCTACTGGATCCCTTTGCATTTTGATTAATTTACCAAATGCAGAAAGTCCTTTAATGGGAATGCCTCCCTGCTTCCTTCTCTCTCCCCCACTAAGGGATTGTTCAATTCATTCCAATTTTCCTGAATCCCGTGGGATTCATGCAGTCGGTCACATGGAGAGGAATAGCTATAGGGCACACACCATGGCAGTCTGAAAGGTGAGTGTTGACTTAAGGCTAGGGGGATGAGTATTTTTATACTCATGCAGATGAGAGAGCTTTGTTTTAGCTAGGGGATGGTCTGCAGTCTGCAGTGTAGGAGTTACCTATTGCTCCCATCAGCTGTGCTACTTGAGTCTTGTATCGTTTCTGTCCCTCAGCTCAGATAGGACCTATGTTGTAGCTGCTAAGGTGGCTTCTCTGGGACTTGCACCTACTCACACCAGAGTCAAATTCAGTGCCTCATTCTTTCAGAGGTCTTGCTGATCTGATAACCAAGACAGGAGCAGATCATAACTGCTAAATCACTGTGCATACACAGATTCTGTACCCAGAATTGTCTGTACATCACTTATGTCTCAAAGCACTCTTCATAAGAAACCAGCGCTAAGAGGTTTGTGTGTCTCAGAGAGTCCAAATATACCAGCAGTGAAAGGTTCTTAGCAGGAATTTGTCAGCTATGTAATTAAACTCAGCATTTGTGGAATGCAACCACAAGCAAGATTAAAAGGAAAAGACTAATACCCTGAGCTCTGTTTCTGGAAGTGCACGTGGGGTGTTCGACCAACACTGTGTGCCATCCTCACAGGCAGGAATCACACCCGTTGTGGTGTGGCAAACAGGCAGTTGTGTGTAGGTTGTGCACGTGCTGTAAACTAGTCTGTATGTTAGTTTGACATGAAGTGCTTTCTTTTTAGGCTTATCCAGAATCAGATTACAGCCAAAGGGGTGAAGTACCTCAGCGAAGCTCTCAAGGAGAACACAGCTATTAAAGAAATCTGGTAAAGATCCCTTCCTCAAAGGCTCACTTTGTAAACTCTCCCTTTAAAACGCTTTTGGCATTGCTTCTTTCCACCCTAAAAAACTCAGAGCAAGTTTATGCGAGGCAGGGGTTGTAGTCCCAGCAGTGGGTTTCAGACAGGTAAAAAGCCTCTGTCACTGAAACCCTTCCCTGTGTGTTACGAGTGTCATGCAGTTTTGTGAGTTCACATCTGTCTGTACCACTGATGCACACAATGTGTGCGTTTGCAGAACTTGGGCCCGAATTCATAGACCAAGTCCTGCTTGTTCTGATTCATCTTTAAACCTTGGACCATGTTCATGCTTTTCAGGAGCTAACTCCCAACAAGCAGGAGACGGTTCTGTTTAATTAGCATTACAAACGTGCTTCATGGAATTTGTGCATGGATTTCCTGTGGGCAGTGCTCCAAGCACGCTCAAAGTGCTAAGCTACAAGAAGATTAACTTTCTGTAACATTTGCTTGTAGATTAGGTGGGCATCACAGAGTCACGCATGTGCACTGGCAGGCACAAAGCCAAATCCCACATTCCTGCCCTCACCTCAGGGAGCTCAGAAGTCAGTAGGAGAGGGCTGGGTTTAGCACCACTGCTGTATTATTGAACATGAAATTCATTTTTAAAGATACATATTTGTTTTAGGGCAAGGACACTGAATTCTTGCTTAGGAAGATGATGACTCAGTATCTGACTAGTGGGGTCCCTGGGGATGCGGAAGAGATGCTTTTTTCAGAGGCCACTGTCAGGTTTCGCCTACAGACGAGGCATCAAGTTCCACTTGAATCGTTCTGAACCTTCAGACTGAAATCTGCCTCTTGATTCTTGCCTGAATTTTCAGAGGTGTTCAATAACCCCAAGAATTCCCTCAGTCTAAATGGCTTAACACATCTCAGCTCTTACCCAGGCTGCTCGGTTCCAGGGGTGTAGATTAACTTGGTGATGCCAGACTTGAAAATTTTGGCCTTAAATCTTTTCACCTTATTAATGCCCAAGTACTTAAAGAGTTTTCTTCCCATGTTGTTATGGAAGACACAAGATGCTCTGAAGACTATTTCAGTTTCTTAAAACTAGCTCACTGCATGGTAAGAACCTTAAGTCAGCTACCTGCTGCTTGCTGAAATGCAAACAGCTGAGTATCTGACACCCATTTCAGTTCAGTGAAGTTTAGGTCTTGGGTCAGTTTTATTTCTGAAGATGAAGCCCTGTTATTCATACATGTTCCTGCCAGTCTGAGGCCAGTTCCCAGCTGTGTGCCCAGGAGCAGCACGCAGCTCATCTGGCTTGTAAACCTGCAATCTCTGCTCCAAAGCCTTGGAAATACATATATATATATATATATATATGTATATACACACACAATTAGATGGGCAATGGTCACTACCTTACTCTCACATCCCTTTTATTTTTCCCCTCCAGTCTGAATGGGAACCTCATAAGCCAAGAAGAGGCCAAAGCTTTTGAAGATGAAGAACGGATCATTTGCTTTTGAATGAGGACTTCTCCATGTCGACAAGCTTTGCGTTACAAAGGTTACTCCTACACTTGGGCTGCAGGGTTTATAAAGGCATAAATCTGCAGTGCTCATGGCAGGAGAGAGATACACCATTAGCTGCCTTTTTATGGCTGTGCTGCACTCCCTCACCTCCATCCTTTACCCTGCCTGTTATTCTGAATCCTTTTGGTGAGTGGGAAGCTGCTGGGTAAATAATTAATGTCTGTATGGTGCTTTGAAGGTGAAATGCAAAGTGTTACCAGACCAAATCCACTGGCAGGTGTATGCATTTTGGTAACTGAGGTTTAGGTTTATTCTGTACACTGATGTATATATTCCCTAACTTATTTATATAGATAAATATATACACACACATATATATATGCAAAAAAGGGTGCAAATGCACAAACTCCGTGAGCTCACAGTATTATCTGCTGCATAACTGAAAATGAACAGCTTTACTGGAAACAGAATCTATCTATAATGGTTGAATGGTATCAATGTTTTCAACATGAATACCTGCTCCTGCCTAGAAATTAGGCCTGTATTTCCGCACTGACCTCAGACAGCATGGTAGACACTGCTTATTTTGGGGGAAGAAATTGATCCATCAGGCTCAGATTACTTTCAGTAGCCTTTTCTGTACTGAAGCTAATACGTTTTCTTCTATACAACCAGAAATCCTTATTGCCATCACTGTAAAACATAAACTTGGCAGTAAAACACTTGCTGAATGCTTCCTGAGGACTGCACAGAAACTGCTACCTCCTGTTTTCCACAGTGTTTGTTCTGGGGAGGGGGTCTGGAGGCAAATTAATTAGCAGGCTGTTCATTGCCTTGGCTCGGGGCCTAGACACCATGCTGGTGGGCAATACACCAATATGAAGTTGCCTAGCTTCAGTGGGGAGAAAGGATGATTGAAAATCAATTGTGTCAAACAGAAATCCCTTCTCTTAGCAACATGTAAGCACAGAGAAGGAGTGAGATTTGCTTGGGAAGCTTTTATTCTGTGCTTGAATGGGTGGAAAATGCAACGCAAAGGACAGGTAGCAATGATAAGGACCAGCAAGAAAACATTATCCTCCCCCAATAATTGGGGAGCATAACTTTAGATGCCCTTAAAAGAAGCCAGTTTGCAAAGGAGGTACAATTGTTACCTCCCCCTATCCCATGTTACTTTGAGAAGCAGTTCTCCAGTTGCTGACTAACCCACAAAACCTTGGTAGGCTGGAAGAAGAATCTCCAGTTAAAATGCCACACCAAGGAGCCCTCACCTTCCCATCTGCCCCATGAAACAAAACATCAATAAAGGCTTGCTTTGCGGGTCAGAATTCCTCCAGTTCCTACAAGGCAGCAGGCACTTCCCTGTCCCTGTTTCTCTTCCTTCAGCTCTGTAACACATTTTAAACTATTCATAAAGCTCCCCAGAAAACCTGCAGTTTACAGAAAACCAGCTCACTGCCCATCACTTCCCAGTGCCTCTTCCTCCCTGTCCATGGGATCAGCACTGATGTTTCACAGGGAGACAGATGAGGCCTTTAGACCACACCAGAGGACACTCAGCTAACCTGAACCATTTCTGCACCTGGGCCATTTGCTTACTGAAACAAAAGGGCATATGGTTACAGATGAGCTGGATTCCAGCTGCTCAGACATCTGCCAAAGCAAGGCCTTTACAGCAGCTCTAACAAACCAGACACCCATGACACAAAACGTCATTCCTGTTCTACCAAGCTGCCTTTACAGAGGGAAGGGCTTTCACCAGCACTGTCACTTGCCTGTGTTGGAGGGCACTCTGCTCTAATCACTGAATTATTTGCTCATTTTCTAGGTAGAAAAATACAGTTTAAAACTCCAACCCTTGCCTTCACTTTACCAATAAACTAAAGCAGCACAAAGTGCCCCTAACAGCTCCTTCCACGCTACCAAGTGCAGACACTTCTGCCCCTTATTTTGGTTTAGGGCAGCCTCTGGAGCTATTTGTAGCACAACCACCTCAACCCTGTTGTAAATCCTGGTACATGCCAAGCCAGGCACCCAGGGCAGTGTTCGGGGACAAGAGCATCTACATGGCTGCAGCAGCTAAACACAGCCTTGCTCAGAGCAAGCAGTGGCAGTTGGTGATCCCAGCTTTACATGGACAGGGTTTGGCACTGTTTATGGTGCCAGTGACTGTGCCAACTGCAGCCCCTTGGTTCAGAGGTGGTTCTGGGCTGTGAGCACAGCTCAGTCTGGCACTGACAAGGCTGAGGGGCTTCACAGTGCTCCCAGCTCAGCCAGGGCAGAGGCTGCTTCATGCAGCACATCACAGCTTCGGAAATCACACCTGGGGAGCAGCTGGAGCTTCCTTGTCTATTGGTACACCTTGTCTATTGGCATACCTTGTGTATTGATCCACCTTGTCTATTGGCACAGCATTTGGGGCTAGAATTCATCCTTCCTAGTCTTACCAGACCATTTGTAGAGCCCAGCGGAGCAGCACATCTGCAGTGAGAGCCTTGTTTACTCAGAGACAACCCTCTTTAAGACTTGCCGTTTGCTGAGGGCTCCTCTGTACACAGCTTTGGTTTTTCTACTTGTCCAGTGCAATTATAAAGAGCTTTTTAAAGCACTGGCCAGACCGCCTGTGAGGGATGCTTTGCTGAAGCCCCATCAAGCTAAATCAAGACAGGACTGTGACAGCCCAACTAATTCTGGCTGCAGGTGAGGAGCTGCCACTGTCCACAAGGGACCTTTCCAGCAGCAGTGCCAACCCAGTTAGGGGCAGCAAGGGAAATACTCTACTTACCTGCTTCTTCCCAGTCTCTTAGGGACACGTGGCTGCCATGCTGCCTGCAGGAGGTCCATCACTTCCATTTGGATGGTGCAAGCTCTGTGCAGTTACTGGTGCCACCCAGAACCTGGGGACAGCCCAGGAGACTCAGACCTCGCAGCCCAGAGCAAATGAAGCTGTGGAGTGTTCACGCTCCTGTTACCTGCCAGGCTCCCTAATCCTGAGTTTAGGTGAGGATAATCCTGCCTGGGTGGCTTGTGAAGAGGAAAACTGTGCCTTTTAAGAGCCACCCAGGTCTGCTGAGGCAGGCAGTGGGTGAGGAGACCCCACTGCTGCATGGTCCCATGGTGGTTGTGCTCCTTGGTGACACAGCCTGACTGAGCTCAGGCAGAGGTTTGGTGTTTTCCATCTTAAAGCAGCAACTAGGATGGGAAGGGGAGGGATGCCTTTGTTGAAATTCAAAGGTGTGTTCAAAGCAGTCTGTAACCAGGGTGAAAAGGAAGAGCAGGGCAGGGCAAAAGCATAGCTCAAGAAATAACGGAGCAGATGGGGACCGAGCACCTGCAGCTTCCACCGAGCTCAGCTGAGGACCCATCCCCGTGCTCTTAGTACCTGCCTCCTCTGTGCTGGGGCCTTTACGAGCAGTGACTCATCCTGCGTCAGCTGAGGGTGGGCTCTGAGCAATTATTGATGTGGAACCCTCCTCCCTGCCCCTGCACATCCCTGATCTCATCCCCTTGTGAAACAGATGCTGCATTAAGTGAAGGCTGGAGAGCACTGTCTCGCTTGGCTGTTGCTGAGGCTCCTTGTCCAGAGGCAGCCTGGCCAGGAGGTGACTGTGCAGCACCTTGCAAGCGGTGTCCTCTGGGGCCTTGTGTGGCTTTGGACCCCTCTCCCTGCAGGGTGGGATGGAGCTGGGAACCTGCTCAGCTGCAGACACCCCAGGGTTGCTCACAGAGATCAGCAGGCTCCAGCGCTTGGGTCTTGTAGCCTCAAGAAGGAGAATGAGACCTTGCAGCACAGGCATTCAAAAGCCAGTGATAAAACACCCCCATTGAGCTCCAGCTGCTGCAGGGGACTCTCCCCTCCCTCCCTCCTTGCTCTCTGCTGCAGGCTCTGTGTTTTCCTCCCTTCCTGCTAATAGCAATGCAGCATCCAGAAGCCAGCCCGGACCAGCTGCTGTACCAAGCAGCAGCCTGGCCAGAGGCACGCTCAGGAGCAGCATCACCATCCCGCACTGACAGCCCCCAGGGACAGCCTGGGGCAGGCGCTGCTGCCTCGATCACCCCCCAGGACAAGGCAAGCATCCCAGGGCAGAGAACCAAGAGATGCCACTATAAACTGCACAGATGAAATCCTGTACCTACCGAACCAGAACGATTTCCAGCAGATTTCCACGATGCAAAGCCAAACGTGGCTCTAAGTAATTACCATTTGCTTCCGTGATATGGCTCCAGATTGAGGAGAAAAACACGGGAATTACTGGCAGTGAAAGAATTCAGGCTTCCCAGAAGGCGACCAGGGAAGGGGGGTGGAAGTTACACCAGCGAGAGATACGAACACGTTCCTCAGTAATTACATCCAACTGTCTCCCGGTGCAGGCTTGAATAATTCATGCATTAAAATTAGCATCTCCTGCAGAGGAAGCTGTGAGGGTCGTGACTGTCACCGAGCCCCAGCAACGGGCTCAGCTACCCTCAGCCACTCCCAGAAGTGGAGCAAGGACGGACAGACCCCCAGCCTCAGAACAACCTGTGCCGTAAATCCCCTCATCCCACTCCACCAGCAGCTATTCCCAGCCTGGCTGGGAGAAGCGGGTGGCTGGGTTGACACATATGGACCACATGGACATGAGGAACAACATTTCCTGCCTGGAGAATGAACCCCTTTCCCACAGCTCTGCAGGGGAAGTAAAAGCACCCCTTTCTCCCCGCAAGCAGACTTACCCCATGCACCATCCAGCACCTGTGTGTCCTCAGTAGCACATGGTGGCTGTGCTCCCATTCCTACCTCACTTTTAGCCCCCCGGTGGCTGTGGGCAGAGACTCCCCCCTCCAGCAACACATCCCTGCAGGAGCCTCCTCCCAGCTCTTTAGGGACAGATGAGAGCGCTGGTAGGAAATCCGTGGTTACACCGGCTGGGAGTCAGCTTGAAAGATGAAACTGAAGCGTTCTGGGAGGAAGCTGGGGCAGAGGAAACAGAGGAGTGTATGGAGCTAGCGTGGTGCCAGGCCCTTGGTGATGAGAAAGGGCTGTTTGACACCCCCTTCTCCTCCCTTTCTAAACCACCCTTGAGTCTCCCACCCCCAGGCCTGGCAGCTTTAACTGATGCTCACCTCGAAGGCCATCGCCTCTGCTGAGGATCCCCAGAGGACACCAACCAGGAACTCCTCTCCTCCAGCCACCCGGGCACAACAGCGGTTCCATCAGCTCTGCTCTGCCCGGGCCAGCCCGGTGGGACACAGCCACCAGATGCACGGATCCACAGACCCGGGTTTGCTGGATACATGGAGAGGGAAGGGGGCTCTGAGCAGAGCCGGGGGCTGGCCCAGAGGGGCTGCAGGGAGGCACACAGCACCTTGCTTCTCCATGTACACCCCAGGCATTGCTTTCCCCTCCTCTGCTTCGGCGCTGTCTGCAGCACAGACGTGAAGCAGAGCCCCCTCACAGGGATGCCTCTCTCCCTCGCAACATAAATCAGCTGGAAGTGTGAAGGAAGCTGTGCTTCAAAAGATTTATTACATACATTTGTACATATCTGACAGGGATGGAATGTTAAACACACAACCTAGGATCGATACAAAAATACTCTCATTCATGATTACGTCCTGGCAAACCACTGGGAAGAGACCCTTGGAACAACTGAGGTCAGCTTGCAACATACTGCTCAATGCAGAAACCAAAACCAGAACAACAGGAAAACCCCAAACTGGACAGGTTTTACATTGGACATTGCAGATTACATTCTGATTTCTGGGAATGAAGGAAGACATCTTGTCCAGTACCGCTGCACATCCAGGGGGCATTGCAGACGCTAGCATGGAGTTCCCCCTAACTCGTTGTGGGCAGGATGAGCTCTGTGGGAAGAGGCATAAAGGGGGATATACACCCTCCTGCCTACCAGCAGGGTAGGAAGAGCCAGAATGGGATTCACAATCAAGTGATAAGGATGCTGCTGCACCACCCCCCATTCAGTGTGATGCTGCAGCTTGTACAAGTAGGTTCCTTAAAACATCCCCTCTACAGCTGAGCCACCTCCTTTCCTCCTTGAGGTTAAACTGCTTTGGCAATGTCAGCCAGGAGAGAGCTCCTGACTGTACAGTAATGAATACTTCATCTCAATAAACACAGAACCATGCTTTGATGCCTCTTCCATGAGCATTTCCCATCTCCAGAGCTTGGGATCTGTCATGTTGAAAAGTGTTTACCATTAAATATAACAAATTAGCAAGGAAAGGGGCAGATGTGAGGGAAAACAAGAGGAACCGGATCCAGCAACAGACGATGCTCCTGTGACGTCGGGTTCCTTACACTTGAAACTCTGCCAGAATTAAGCAAATCCCACTTAGCATTGCAAAACCTCTGCCAAAGCACACCCAAGGGCAGAAGTTGCTCAAACAGACCGATGTAGATGAAAAGGTGCCACAAAGACCAGCTAGAGGGCTTGCTGCCTTCCACTGCTTGTACAGGGGCAGCTTACATCAAAGACACAACCAAGTGCAACCTGTTTGGGGTGCAAGGATATTCCTGCTGTGGTTTACCTAAGCAATAGTGAGGTCGTTTTACAGTTTATCCCATCGCCAGCTCCGAGGGACTTAACTGAGGAATGATGCAGCAGCTTGGGAAGCCAGGGAACGGTGCCATAAGGTAACCAAATGCAACCTGGGACAACTGCAGCGGGAGGACTGGGGAATTTCTTTAACCATAGGCTAAAACATCTTCAACCCAGTATCAGGAGCAGGTGGATGGAGAAATCCAAGTCCTACATCCAGGAAACAAACCCTGGACACGGTTCTGCTGTGGGCTTCTCAGGCAGAGCATTCTGAATGACAAGAGGTTAAGGGGTACGAGCTGACGACACTGCTGCAGGAACACACGTTAGGCTGGGTTGTAGCTAACCCATAACAAGCCCTCCTTCTTCCAGCTACCACCTCTTACATTACTTTTGCTGATGCCAATGCAAAGCCTGCCCAAAGACTGAGGGAATATGGCCTAAAATGTACCATGACTTCAGCTAGGAAGAGGAGAAACAGACAGTAAAATGACTTCTAAGCTTGGAAGGGTGGAAGGTGAACCAGAAAATACAGCACTCAAAGAGTGAGCTCATCCTCCACTGGCAAAGGTGGGGTGGAAGGTTCCATAGTAGCAGTGCTACACTCCCAGGTGTTGTATGGGATATGGTTATATACAATCTAACTCATAGCTACCTCCACTAGGAGGTCTCCTGGCAGGAAACTCCCTCTGTACAGCAACATCAGCAGGCACAAAACAGCAACAGCAAATCTGCACACAAATACCCTCTGTCAATATGGGAAAGCAGCTAAAACTCACAGAAACTCAGAGCCATCATGGCCTACAGCAAAAATAACATCTGCCTTGTTGCTGTTTATGCAGAGATAGTAACATTCAAGTGAGGAGCTTCCTGCTTTTGGTGGAACACATAAGAAATGGATGGAGTTTCTGAAGCCCCCACACGGAAAAGGCAGCACACTAAAAGCATCCATAAGCACATTTTATGTGCCAGACATTTTCCATCCAGAAACACCATGGATCCACATTTCTGAATAGAAATCACCTTGCCCATATTTGCTGAGGTTTTGTCTTTGGGAAGGTGTCAGTTTTACCAGTGCTAGCAAAGGCTCAATTAAAAAGCCAATGCCCCTAACATAAAGAACTAGGATAAATGTGTAACTCAGGATTAGCTCATAAACCCCCCTTTTACATCATAAAAGGGAAAAGAAGAGGTCACTGGTATCCACCCACACCTCTGTGCATCTCCTACACGTTTCCCATTTCAAGACACTGCGGTACCCTTACCCTTGACTATGAAAGTAAAACTGATTACAATTAAGACCATCTGGTTTAGGCTTAATTCTTCCCACAAATTGCAGTGTGCTTTGCATTTCGGCTTTTATGTCTCCCATATGAACATAACACATGGAAAGCAAATTAGCTCCCTCCTTTGAAAAGGAAGTGTTGGTAGGGATACACTGATTTGTTATGAGAGAAAGGACAGTGCGTGCCCTGTGGGAACAGTGGCATGGCTCTCTTGGTGTTGTATGGGATATGGTTATATACAATCCAACTCATAGCTACCTCCACTACGAACTCCAAAACACAAGTTGCTACTCAAGATATACAGGTATGGTACAAGTTCAGAAACATCTCACGTTTCAAGACAGTGTTGAGCCTACTCTTCCCCTCCTGGCAAGCAGCATGTTAATGGCAGACCTGAGTATGGGAATTGTTTCACACCCTTATATACTTAGGGAAGATATAGGGCAGATGACAGGAAACACTCTGAAACAGCACAGAATTGGCAACCTCAAGATATTTACAGGCAAAGAAGCGCATGGCTCCGTAACGTCAGTTATTGCTTCTTGTGGACAAGTGTGGTATTCCTTGATTGAGACATGGGACTTGTTCAGTGTTGATTTCCCCCTTCTGAAGCACAAGGACTCAGAACCACTGCGAGGATGTTTGTAACACGAAGGTGTTGCCTGTGACTACAGCTGTGCCTGCAGCATGGTCATCACCAACAGAGCTGGTGAAACAAAGTTTAGGCTGTTGACTTTCTGCAGGCGTTTTCAAACACAAGCATCACTCTCATGCTTCCATAGGCTTGGTCTGTACTACAGCTTTTAACACAAGAACATCTCCCACAGCCTTTCAGAAGAGATTTATGGATACCAAGAGTGCCAAACTAGGCTCTAAGGCTGACCTTGTATCAGTTCCTCAAACAATGCAAGGTACTGCTGGCTCTGCTGTGCTCATTGAAGCAGCAACACACACTTGCCTGCAAAGCCATTGTGAGTGCTAGTGGCGTGCTTTTCAAACCCCGGTCCTAAATGTAGGACAGCAGAGATAACTGCTGGCTCTTTAAACCAGATACTTGCATCTGAATACAGAAAGTGAAGGGTTTTGAGACAAACCCAAACAGTTAAATGAACCAGAAATAGGAGCCACTAAAACTGAGCCTAAGCTGTAAACAGATTTATATCATTCACCTACTTAAACCCCAAGCCAAAGGCTATCTATGACCTTGGAGCACAGGACACCAAAACAATTACCTACCACCCTACCCCCCCCTTTATATTATTACAGGTGAGTTTCTGTAGGCATGAAGCCAACAGCAAACATTAAATCAATGCAAATGCAAAAGCTTTACTTCCAGAAGATAGCAGGAATTCAGAACAGTGGAAAAGTGGGCCTGCAGGCAACACCACTATGGGAGCACTACAGGTGCTGTAAT